GACGGACTAGGTTGGGGTAGCTGGTTTGCCAGTCGCTGGTCTGCAAAATGGCCTTCAAGCCTGCGTGAAAGGGCTGCTCTTCCCTGGGCGCAGTGGAGAGCACCGGCAGGAACGTGCGCAGCTCCGCTCGAGCTGCACGCTTCTGGACACCTGCCAAACAGGAGAGCACAACCGGGTAGAAAGTCAAGCTCTCAACATGGCAATAACGCAACCACGGAAACGGCTACGCATACACGCAGAGCATAGGGGTTCCGTCTCTAGCTCACCTGGCAAGATCGTGTCCCGGTTCTTGGCCTGGAACAGATGGACGAGGCCGTGCAGGTGCTCCTTGCACTCGGCGTCTCTAGCCTCGGCGCCCCTCGGCCACGAGCGGGGCATGAAGAGCTTCGCCCCGTTCAAGCGCGTCAGGTCTCCCAAGCGCAACTCGAGGTTGTACACCAGCTCGCGGGCGAAGGAGCGGCAGCAGGTGTAGCAGCCTTGCATGTCCCCGCTGCTGGTGGTGTATCCCTTCACGGCCTCCTCGTGCAGGTCGAACTTGTGTACCCGGGCCTCACCATCCTTGTCCACCCCCTCCACAGTCACTTCACGGAAGTCCGGGGAGGCGTGCCGCGCGAGGAATGCAGACAGCAGCTCGCTGGTCCCACCGCCAAACTGCTGGCCACAGTGCAGGTACCGCTGCTCCATGTAAATGATGGTCCGCCTCACCTGGGAGTGCACTGCAGTGAGGTCAACCTGTTGGTAGGGGGAGAGTAGGTACACCGAAACAAAAGATAAGTAACTGGGTTTAGAAGATGAGAAAAGCACTACGTAACTCAACACCTCACCTGACGCTTCTGGAATAGCAAGTTGAGCGCGTTGAGTGCCGTGTGCACATCTGCCAAGAAGAACAGAAAAAAATGAAACTTGAACGACGTCACCAACTGGTACATCGTCTTGTCCGTCTCCTCGAGCATGACGATGACCGCAGGGAAAACGCGGACGAATCGGGCGATAGCATCGCCCCGACTCAACCAGCGGACCGAGTGGATCCCCTGGACCTCGAGGTTGGTGTGCGTGAACACCTCCTGCAGCTCCTTGAACTTGCAGTTGTAGTTGCTGGATCTGCCTAGATCTTCCGCCAATGCGCGGATGACCGCGTCAATGATGCCAAGCTCGGGCAGTGCCTTAGCCGCCTCCTTTGCAGCAAGCGCCTCCCTGCCACGGGTAGGAAAGCACAGGTGGGGGTGTTAGAATTCGCACTGCCACGTTGCACATTTCACACTGCTACAACACCACCACAGCATCAGCTTACCTGTGTGCGATGCAGTGACAAGCCACCACGTGCGGGATCTCCAGGCGAAGGCGCCCAACGAGGCCCGTGTCGCTGCCTATCATCACAGGTGCCCCATCGGTGCTGATACCCGCAACCTTCTCCAGCGGGAGGTTGATACTGTCAAGGAATTCCGTGAGCTTAGAAAAAAGAGAAGCTGCATCACACTTCTCGATGGAGAGGTTAGTTAGGAACTCTGTGGTGACGGCGTGCTCACGTAGAAAGGTTGCAAACACAATCATGTACTTGCCTTTGACGCGGTCCGTACTCTCGTCGCAGGTCAGACCAATAAATGGACTCGAGTTGATGAATTCTCTCTGGCGCGCACGAAGGTATGTCGCTATTGCGGCGGTTATCTCCTCGAATCCGTACCTGCATGGGCATCAACGGGTGGGGTCAGAGATAGCTGCAAGTACATCACAACCCGCTGCCAGTTGAACAAGAGCAGTGTCACTTACGTCGTATAGTACGCACCATAACTGTTCTTTGGGAAGCCCGGGGTGCCACGCTGCGCCAGGTGTTGGACGAGGTCCACGTGCATCTCGATCGGGGCGTGGGACTTAGCGATGAAGAGCGCCGTCTGAAACAGCGCGAGCAGGCGCTCCTTCTCCACGTCTTTCACATTCGGGTTGTCGTCAATACGGGCATTTGCTTTGAGAGCCGCCTCGGCTGTCTTCTGTCTGCGCACAGCGCGGCGGTGCTTCCTTGTGCGCTGATGCTTCCGCATCGCCTGAGTCTGAACATCGGTCGCCCCTTCTCCTTTGGCGCCGAAGTTCGTCCCCGTACCGGCGTGCGCAATGCAGACCTTGCACTCGATTGAGGGGAACCCTGCTTTATTCTGCAGCAGTACAAGCCACGGGTAGTCTTCAGACCATTGTTTGTTAAACATAGCTAAAGCCTCTTGGTATTTCTCCTCGTCTATGTCGGGCAGTTCTGTATCGGAAGACACCTCAACCGCTTTCCCCTTCATTTTACGCTGACGGGCCTTCGGGGAAGAGTTACCCACACCGGACGTTGGTGTAGCTTGACTGGAACCCCACCCGATCTTGGTCTGGTGGTACCTCACTTTAATACCCCTTTTAAGACGAGGACCTTGCCGAGTAGTTCCGGCAGCGACAGGTTGACGGTTCCGTGTGGGTTCGGGAGCGGCAGGTGTAGATCCGACAGCGTCAGGAGTTGATGCGGCAACGACAGGCGTTGATGCGGCAGCGACAGGCGTTGATGCGGCAGCGACACGAGTTGATGCAGCAGCGACAGGAGGTGAAGCGGCAGCGCCTACATGCGTCGAACACTCGCCCTGCGTCCAGATGGTAGGTCCCTCGGGGCCAGTGGAAGGGAACGGCACGGCTTGAGCTGACGGCGGGACTAACGCGGGAGCAGCGTGAACGCTTCGTAAAAAGTCTAAGCCAGTAATAGCGGCTGGCCTCATGCCTGCGACGGGCGGAGGGCCGTCACCTGCGGGCGTCGAAACCGCCATGGCTGCTCAGCGCTGCAGAGCATGCCGAGCTTGAGGGAGAAGCTACTCCTGCTTCAGCTCGAACATCACTTCCTGCAGGGGTTCACGAGGAGTGTAGGAATAGAATGAGGGAGCAGATGGGGGTACCCCCTCTCCCGAGCTGCGATGACGAGGGATCTTGGTCCAGGCCAGGGTTTCCGTCTTCCCAGGCAAGATGACAACACCCCCACTCCACTCTGCCATCCCTGGCGTGTTGGCGTGGACCCTGCCACCAGTGGTGTGTTGTCTGTGTTCTCATTGGGCAGTTGTGAACTAGGTTAGCCGTTCTCTGGTATTCTGGCTTCCAGCGCGGCAAAACGGTTCGGCGCGCACTAGCTGTAAATACAGCGCATGTGAGAAGATTCCAAGTGTGTGTGGGGTTTCGTGAATCACGCGAAGGAACAGCCTGTACACGCGTCGCCCCCCCCCCCCCCCCCCCCCCCCCCCCCCCCCCCCCCCCCTTTCCCCCGGCCGGTCAAATCCGTTTCAGGGTGACGCACTGAAGTATACTGATTCCTCAGTGTAACTCGTTCAGAAACACACAAAACCGTCAGTGTGGCAAACTCACATTTACTGAAATTTCAGCCCAAAATGGAAGCATTTACTGATTTTCCAGGGAAAACGAAATTCAGAGCTACAAAATCAGCGTAATCAGCGTGTTTTACGCTGACAGGGCAGCAGCCAGAAAAACCACTCGCGGGCAATCTCATTTAATTCTACTTGTTCAGCTTAAGTCGATTTGAGAAAGACAAATAACAGCACAGCCGTGCTTACTATATGCCCCGTCCCGTTCATGGCGAGAACACATAATCCCCAGCACCAACTGGTCTACCACTAAAAAGTGGGTGATTCATTGCAGGGCGCCAGTTTTGGCACACACCACTTTCTAGGAAAAGTGAAGAGCTTATTGGCTGTACAGATCGAACCTCCTCATCGCAAACCTCCTCGCATATCAAAATTGGACTCATCACTTGCCTTCGTTCATTTCCACAATTTTTGGAGGGGAAGCGGTTAGTACCGGTAGATGAGCTCGGAATACCATGGCATGCAACCGGAGGCCTTCCTGCTTCACTCACTGCCTCTGTGACATGAAGAGCTGGCTCTGATTGCACACTCCTACCGTTCATCCCCACATGCTTCTGCCCTCCAGCAATCGGCATTGCTGTCCTCGTTACAGTCACACCCATCCCTCCTCTCTGCTTGTGGCTGCTGCCTGTTCCATTCACCGTGGAAACCAAGCGTCCACCGCTGCGCATATCTCCTTCTCCATGATCCGGACTCCACGAATGCAGCCCACCCACCTTACACCACCCACTGTCCGGCGACCGAACAATCAGGTCCGAACTCGCCACTACACCTCCTCCCGTTTCCTGCTCCCTACTCCTCCTCCTCCTACCCTCGTCTGCTTCGCTGCGACGATCCATCCAGAGGCCAGGTTCGGAGCCCACGCGGCGAATTCGCCTACGATGTGTTTGCCGTGGCATGGGTGGGGAGCTGGGAGACTGCCAATAATACACCTCCTCTTGATGTTGGTCCCCACTCACTTCCAGAACTTGCTCAGCATTCACGTGATCAGGTTTCTGCTCCAGTCTTCCCTTAACGCCAGGTGATGCATGCGATGGGAGGTCAAACTTGGAAGCAGCAGGAGAATGGTCACACTTTCCTACCCCGGCCACCTCTGCTGCTGCTGCTGCCAGCTCTTGTGCTCGCTGTAGCTGTTTCGGCAGCTGCTGTGGTGGCAGTTGCACCTCCTGTGTTTCCAATCGCTGAGCTGGCAGCTTCTGCAGCGGAAGCTTCCCCGCAGCTTCCGGTTGAGCTGGCATTTCCGCCGACAGGTCCTGCAGTTGGGAGAACGACATGGATGAACGGTGGAAGCGAGGCGGGCCGTTGTCAAGACCGGAAAACAGCCGATGCTCTGAGGCAGGCACAAACTGGGGCGCACTCCCCTTGGGTCTAACAGTGACCAGACTTCCCACAGGGTCCGGGACAATGGGAATGCACCCTTCCGACAAGCTTCCGCAGGAATCGCCTCTCAGTGTCCTGCGTCTCCCAGGGTTCTTGAACGGCCCTTGCGATGCTGCTCTGCTTGCTCTCCCAGAGTCCTGCAGCGCCTCATTCGAGCCCTGGCGCGCTGGATGCGGCGGCGCTGCACCGTCTGTCATGGCCCCGTCAAGATACAACGCTGCGAAATCATCGTTAGGGGTGATGGAGTAATCGAGCGGCTCCGTCTCGTGCGTTCCTTCGGTCTGGCTGCGCCGCAGCAGCGGAGGCGCCGCGAGGGATGGCTCGGGGACGCTGGGACACGCCGGAACGCGCATTGGCGTCGATGCGCGGCCTGACACTTGATTCAACGTCCTCGACGACGGGAATGAGTTTAGGGATTTAATGCGGTGCGGCCGGGCAGCGGGGAGAATCGACCCCGGCCACAGGTGATGCTTCGGCGGCTTATTCGCCGCCGATCCTGCACCATTGGAACCGTCACGGTTCGATCCCGCGTCGCTTGGCGGCGTGCCGCTTGCAAATGGGCCAGTTCCCGGGCTCGCCGTGGGATGATCCCAAGGGTTGGCGGAGGGTCGTTTGGGGCGGAAGATAGGCGACACGGGAGCATGCAATGAGCGAAAAATGGATCCCACGTTCCATCCGCCCGCGCTGCTGCTGCTGCTGCTGTTTAGAGACCACAAGGGACTGCTGCCGCCGCATTTGCCGCTGCTACTGCTGCTGCCACCGTGATAGAATGAAAATGACCCGCCGGCCACCGTTGCCGCTTCAGCCGGGGAGCAAGGGCTGCGCTCCGCCTTTTCGAGCGCCTCAAACGGGGAGCTGGGGCTGCGCTCCGCGATTCCCGGCGACTGCAGAGATCTCAGGTTGTCCGACGAGTTGCTGCTATTGGCGCGCAGCATCGGTCTTCCCCCTTGGAACCCGGCGGCGTGCGCGCCCGTGCTGTTCCGGCGGACATGATGGATTGCGCTGCTCAGGCTCCGCGCTCCACGTCCCCCGCTGCGCGGGCGTGTGTTGTCGCGCGCAGGACAATGCTTGTCTTCGCTCATCGATCGCTCGACCGCGCCGCGGAAGCTTCCGCCCACGAATGCGACGAATGCGCCGCCATTGATGCCTCCGTGTGGCCGGAGCGGGGACGGAGGCGGTCGATGCGGGGACGGAGGGGGGCGCTCGAGCGCGGGCGACGGCGTTGCATCCTCGGGGTTTTGATCTCTGTCGGTTGGCCTGTCCACGGCCCGGGAGACGTCGCGCCGCCCGCTCTGTCCGGCGCCAGCGCTCGCGCTGAAGCCGGGGGAAGCCGCGTAGGTCGTCATTTTTTTCATCGCTTGCGCTTCGCCCGCGCCGTCGGTCGCGTGCAGGCCGCCGCCTGCTTCTTCCGCCAGCCGCGTCGGTCGTACTACCGAACCCGCTTCCGCGGCGAAGTCGGCGCGGCGATGTGAGCTGCGCCGCGCGCCGGCTGACGAGTTCGGCCGCGTAGGAATCTCGCCAACGGCTGTTGCTAGTAGGGAAGGTGACCCGGCGGTATTGGCGCTTCCGCGCGCCCTTTCCGCAAGACTCCAATGATTCCCTGCCAGCGCCACGGTACTGTTCGGATTGGCATTGCCATTCCGCTGCCATTCGCGAGTGGAGAAAACGCTAGAGACGGGGCTGCGACCGCCGCTGTCGCATGCGACGCTGGTAACGCTCTTTGCGAAACTTTCGCTCGTGCCACCACTTCTCCCGTCGGTGCTCTCGTCGCTGCTCTCTGCACCGACGAGTGATGGGAATGCATCGAGCTCTATCGAGTCGCTGCTTGTGACAATGTCGAGGGGCGGGGGGCGTCTGAAGGGCGGGCGGAAGGACAATGTTAGCGACGCTGACGGGGAAGGGGGCCGGGGAACATCGGCGGAGCGCCTTCCGAAACTCCCCGGCAAACGGCCTCCAAGAACGACCATTTCGACGCTATTAGAGATATTAATTCGCGCAATATTGACTCAGTATGTGCGGGCTGAGGTAGCGACGAAAATGACTCCGTCTCAAATAAGTTGTAGTAGATGAGTCATAAGGCGCTTCGTGGGAAAATATTGCTTCTTCAAGGGGTCTGGACAGGTGTCATGGACCTGGTAGGCATGAGAGCGAGGATGCCCCAAAATTTGCACGTCTGGGAGCGGTGTTGCTGAAAGACGGCAGCAGTATGTATTGATGCCGTAGGCATGGTCGTAGCTTCTAGAAGTTCAACGAGCTAATTTCGGGCTAGAGACAGGTTTGGTTGGGTGAGTTCAGAAATGAATTCAGACTTCCTATTTTCCTTCAAATGCCCTTCGACGTCACGCAAAAGGAATCACAGCTGGCAGACCGAATGCTGTTGACCGAATGCACAAGTTGATTTGCTGCTGGGAGCTCTGGAGTCTTTCCTCATCTGCTCACGCGACCGTATATTAACGTACTCAACCGCATATCGCCCTACATCATCCAGTCTCAGTGCTCTGGCGTCAGGGACTCGCACGCATCGCATGATGGCCATCTTCAGGATGTGGGTGGGCACTGGGCAGGAGGCAGATGTTCCACAACGGGCACCAGCTGTTGTGGGGAGGAGGGCTGTTGTGTTGCGCAGAAACGGGCGGAGCGGATCCCCTCTATCAACAAAGATATTCGAGCGGCTGCGAACAGAAGGGGCTGCGATTTGAACAGATGGTGTATGCGTGTACGAGGATTGGTGAATCACGCTGAGGGAAACGGGGTTACGGGGAAAACGGGTTACGCAAATATCGTTCCGGGGGGAACGACATTCGCACGTTGCGTCGCACAAAGAACAAGCCGCTTATCACGAAGGATATGTATATAGATATAGGATCCCATCTTGTTGCGTCGTCGTCGTTGATCGCAAGACCAACAAGCCGCTTGTCACGTGTGGTAGTGACCGGCAAATCTGCGGTCACCTCGCTTCCGAGACTCTCGCTGATCCGTCGAACTCACGCAAGAAATCCCATTTGCCACTTGTGGTCGTGTAGTGGAGCACGACGGCGGCGCGACATGAAGCTGAATATGTGTACTGCCAAGCTCACTTGACCTGAAAAGTCTACGCTGATTCGCCAAGTCTACGCTGTATCTCTTCTGTCAGTTTTCATTGTGCACCAATGCCTTTTCACCGGAAACTCATTCACATTCCTCCCCCCATGCTTACAGCCTGCCCAACACCAAATTGGTGACGGAACTTCAGCATGGGTCATCATCATGCAGTTCTGCACTGTACGCACGACGCCTCCTTGCTTGCATTTTGTTCACTGACGTTTCATTTCCCTTGCTACAGTTCATCATTCCCTTCAGGTTCTGGCTCAAATCAATAACTGTACGCGATTGCACGTTGGCGATTAGGAGCTTCAGTAAGACGTCGCCTGCACCTGTGGGATTCTCATGCTGCTTATCTTTTGTTTAAGTCCAACTCTCCTACACCACTTCCTTGATCTTTCTTATTGTCCGACTCTCCTACATGTGGTCCACGTCCACATTAGCATACGATGAATGCTCTGCGTGAACGAAAGCATGGGCAGAGAGGAAATACAAACCCGTATATTCTTCCACACCGTGTAGCCAAGTATGACCGGCATCTTGTTAAACATGGCAAATTCATCACAATCAAATGAAAGCATCTTATCCAAACCATTCAAACAAAACTAGGATTCACGAAGTTCCAACTGTTAGCACTATCAAACCCCGACGTTCCAGGAAGCCTCGACGTCCCACGTATGTACATCTGTCATCCCGCTGTTGAACAACGTTACTTATCATCGAGCCACGCCTCCAATCTCAACCTCTGTTCTTCTCCTATCCTGTTACCATTGGGTAACTCTGAAGATCCACCCTCCTTTTTCCGCAGTGGTTGTTGAGACTGCCACAGCAGGCTGGGAGGAGAGATAAGCCTGAGCAACCGGCTTGATATGCTGGGGGAGGCGGAACAGGCAAGGGAGGAGAGAAGGGAGGATGGAAGGGGGATGTAAGGGGGGAGGGCAAGGCAAGACAGATGGGAGTGGTGAGGAGGATGGTAACTTTAGGAGCAGAAATTTCGAGGCGCCGCAAAAGGTGGAAGATGAAGTGGGGAAGAGACTACACTAGTGGAAGCACGAGATGCTGCCCGCCCCCCCCCCCCCCCCCCCCCCCCCCCCCGCCCCCCACCAAAATTCTGCCCGAACAATCTGCTTGCTTACTTGTGGATAGCATCTGCTTGCTCTCACCTGCTTTGTGCATCCCCCGTAGTAGCTGCCCCGATACTAGTCTCTTCAGCAGTGTCCTTAGCTCCTTCAATGATGAAAGCAAGCAGTGCTGCTGGCCCTGTTGCGGCCCTCCTCACACCTGCTCTCACCTTGCTTGTGCATCCCCTGTAGTAGCTGCCCCGATACTAGCATCTTCAGCAGTGTCCTCAGCTCCATCGTTGATGAAAGCAAGCAGTGCTGCTGGCCCCGTCAGCGCCCTCCTCACACCTGCCCTGTCAGCCACCGCCACCCGTGCTCCTGCCACGTCAGCACCAGAACCCATGGATGCCACGTCAGAGCTGGAAGCAACAGCTGCCACATCATCAGCGAGAGAAGCAGCTGCACTAACAACCACCTCCACCGCTCCTCCTCCTACTCCACCCCTCTCCACCACATCAACCCCTTCCCTTCTAGCCATCCCCTCTCCCTCTGCCGTCGTCCCTCCCTCTCCTGCCACCCCTCCCCCCCCCCTCCCCTTTCCTTAACCCACTTCCTTCCCCCCCATCCACCACCTCCTCTTTGCTCCCCTCCCCACCCCCACTCCACAACACTCTCTCATCGCTCTGCTCCCGAGCAGCTGAGTCATTTGCACGGCCCAGCCCCTCCAGCCTCCCAGCAGTTTCCGGTCCTGCTCTCTCTGAGCGAGCCACCTCATGAGCAGACACCAGAGGCGTATCCACCTCGCAGGCTGCCTGAGCCCCCTCTGTGTGAGGCATGTCAGAAGCAGACATCACAGGCAAATCCGCCTCGTAGCCACCCCCCACCCTCTCACTGGAACCTGTCGGTGCACCGTCCCCACTGCCACCTCTCACACCATCCACCTCACCTGCAACACCCGCAACACCCGTAACCGCACCCCCGGCAGCACGTGACAGTGCGCCCCCCTCTGAAGGCAGGGCACGCGCGTGAGAGAGGTCTCTGGCGGCACGCGCGGAGGGGAGGGAAGGAGGCGGCACATCTTTGAAGCCGCGCAGGGAGGGCAAGAGGGGCGCCATGTCCTTGCCCACCCCTTGTCCTTGTCCTTGTCTTTGCCCCACCGGCACCGCCGCCACGTCTTTGGCGCCGCGCAGGGACGGCAGGAGGGGCTTCGCGGCGGCCAGGCGCGCCAGCATGCGCTGCAGGGATGCCGGCCCGCCAGCTGTCATGCTGCGCGCGATGACGTGGCAGTCCGCCACGTCAGCGCCGGCGAACTCGGCCTCTCGTGAGCAGGCGAGCGTGTCGGCCTGGTTGGGTGATGGGGGTGATGGGGGGGATGGGGCTGATGGGGGTGATGGGGGTGATGGGGCTGATGGGGGGTGATGGGGGGGATGGGGTGATGGGGGGGATGGGGGTGATGGGGGTGATGGGGGGGATGGGGGTGATGGGGGGCGATGGGGGGCGATGGAGGGAAGGGGCAGAGTGGTTACCTTGAAAGCCATGGGGGGCCAGGTAGACTTGCATACATGCGCTGCTGCATGGCAGTGTGCAGGCACACTCTGCCTGGGATCGTGCTGTCAAGAGAGGACAGGTGGGCACACTCTGCCTGGGATCGTGCTGTCAAGAGAGGACAGGTGGGCACACTCTGCCTGGGATCGTGCTGTCAAGAGAGGACAGGTGGGCACACTCTGCCTGGGATCGTGCTGTCAAGAGAGGACAGGTGGGCACACTCTGCCTGGGATCGTGCTGTCAAGAGAGGACAGGTGGGCACACTCTGCCTGGGATCGTGCTGTCAAGAGAGGACAGGTGGGCACACTCTGCCTGGGATCGTGCTGTCAAGAGAGGACAGGTGGGCACACTCTGCCTGGGATCGTGCTGTCAAGAGAGGACAGGTGGGCACACTCTGCCTGGGATCGTGCTGTCAAGAGAGGACAGGTGGGCACACTCTGCCTGGGATCGTGCTGTCAAGAGAGGACAGGTGGGCACACTCTGCCTGGGATCGTGCTGTCAAGAGAGGACAGGTGGGCACACTCTGCCTGGGATCGTGCTGTCAAGAGAGGACAGGTGGGCACACTCTGCCTGGGATCGTGCTCGCACGATTGGATCGGATATATCCACGCTGCTCGTTCATGCACTGCGATCCCCCTTGCGCGGCGATCCCCCTTGCGTACCTATCTTCCATCAAAACCTTGAGAGTCACGAGCGCAGGCACACTCCCATGCACGCGCCGCAGCCACCTTACTACCCACCCACCCGAGTCCCCACCTTGAGCGCCACGAGCGTGGGAACAGAGTCCTTACCCACCCGCGAGCGCCGCTGTCAACGCCTCTCCCACCTTTGACCCTACCTGCAGCCACCCTATCCACCCACCAGAGTCCTCACCTTGAGCGCCACGAGTGCAGGCACAGCGGCGTGCACGCGCTGCTGCACGCCCGCGAGCGCTGCTATTTGCGAGCAACCATCACTGCAACCCCACCGTACAGAGTTCTCACCTTGAGAGCCACGAGCGTAGGTACGTTCCCATGCACGCGCTGCTGCACTCCCGCGAGCGCCGCTGACGGCTCGTGCGCCGTGAGGAGCAGCAGATCCGCCAGACGCGCGTGCACTGCGGGAAGGAGGGGCGGAGGAGGCGGCGCGGGAGGAAAGGAACGGTTGACACAAGGGGTGGGGAGGAACGTGTAACAACTGCGATGCGCCTCAGCATAAGACTCTTGCACCCCTCTCCGTCACTCTCCGCCGCTCTCCGCTCCTCTCAGCCCGTCCCCACCCTTTTCCGCGCGACTAATTTCCCCCACTCCCCGCCACAGCGCGTGCGCGGCGCCCTCGGCGCACCTTGCTGCGCGGACGGCGCCTCCGCCACGCGCGGAGGCATGGCGGCCTGCGCGGACGAGTCAGGTCATGGCGGAGCTGCGCGGAGTTGCGAGGGGTTGCGCGGGACGCGCCTCTCCCAGTCGAAGCCAAAGCCTTCCTCTCGAGAAATGCTGCCGCGATGCGCGGATGTGGGGGATGTGCGGAAGGAGTGCTTCCTTTGGGTATCGGGAGGTGAACTGGCAGGAGTTGCGCATCAGGCGCCTGAAAAGAAATTCCGATGACAAAAAGAGGGAAAAACAACTTGTCGCATCACTTGGGAAGACCAAGTCATCGCACGAATTCATTTGGGCGCCATCCTCGTCGTTTCCACCAATCCCAAGCGCACATCCCTGTTGCCGTCCGCAGCGCATTTCGAGACCAGGAAATGTCATTCCGACGGCCGGCAGGCGTTCTCGTCCCAACGTGTCAGTACGAGATAACAGTAGTGTTTTGAGACGTCTCAAAACACTACTGTTATCACGTTCCAATCCAACGCTCAGCACAACCGCTCATTCAAACCTCCCCTGTTCAAGGGGAGCAAGTCCTTCGCTGCCTGCCTGACCTGGAAACGCGAGTCACCCTCAGTCCTTGCGAGGATTGACGAAGTCACCATAAACACCGTCAATCCTTGCAAGACGACCTTTGACGGTTTATGGTGAGCAAGTCACGGTCTCACAAGTCAGCCCTAAAAAGACATCCCAAGCCATGCTGCCGCTGCTTGTCGCCCGCTTCTCGCCCTCCCCCCCTGCTCTCTCACCACCATCCTTCCCGCCGGCCCACAGGCTTCACCCTTCGTCCCTCAGGCCCCTCCTGCCCTCCCCGCCTGCCCTCTTGCCCCCGTCTCTCCCGCTTTCCCATACGCCTCGCCCTTCACCCCTCTCGCCCCCATCACCCCTCCACCTCTCGCCCTCTCCCGCCCCTTTTCTCCTCTTCCCCCGGCCCTTCTCTCGAGTCAAGAAGCTTCACCCCTCCATCGTCTCACCCTCTTGCTCTCCCTCCTTGCTCTTCCCCCTTCCTGTTGTCTCACCCTCAACGTATCACCACCTTCCCGCCTCCAGCCCCAACAGGCTCTGTTGCTGCTCCTTCTCTCCATCCTCCTCTCCCTCCTTCTCCTCGCCCTCCTCATCCCCCTCCTCCTCTTCCACTGCCCCCCACCCCTCACCCCAAAGCCCTGAAATATCCACCCATAAACCCCACAACCCCAGCCCCAATTCCCTCACCCATGATTGGCTGAAACGCCTCTTCCTCTCGCGCGATTGGCTGCTATCTCCCGCCAAAGCCACTCCCCACATCACCCAAGTGCTTCTCGGGCCAACACTACAACACGCCTGGCCCAGAATCCATAGAATACCTCGGAGGAGCAAGGAACACCTGGGTGAAGAGCATGAGCTTTCTATAAATAGAATACCAGCTCATGGGCTTCCTATTAATAGTATACCTGCAGGTTCGGTGGCTGCTGTTGGTGCTGGTTCTGGGAAGAACAGCGTTCCTCCCTCTCAGCTCATCTGCACCGTTGATGTGATCCGGGACGATCTCATCCATCCGTTGGCGGGCGGCAACAAGCTGCGCAAGCTGGACGGGCTGCTGCCGCCCGTTATCCAATCCGGGGCGACTGACGTGGTATGTCGGCGGGGTAATGATCGGGTTTGACCCGATCATAGTTCATGCCCGTTAATGCATTAACAGGCGATCTTAGTTGCACACCAGCTCGAATCACCCGTCATCCTTCCCGTTCCATCCCCCTCCTCACATCTCTCCTCTCCCTCCTGTCTCCTACCGCTCTCCCCCCAGGTCACGTGTGGGGGCTGTCAAAGCGCACACACTGCAGCTGTGGGTGAGGCATGTTCTCCTGCTTCTAGCGTTGCACATTGCTGCTCGGGTTCGAAGCAACTCGGAACAGTTTGGTGCTGCTTGGCTAGTTACTCGTAACAATCCGTGTTACTGTCTGGTGCAATGTTGGTGCTCTGCAGTACATACAGCTCTACAGCCAAACCCATTCTCCTAAACCCCTTCTCCTCTTCTCCCCTTGACTCCAGCCGTGGCGTGTGCAGAGAGGGGCCTTAAAGCCCACCTCGTGCTAAGGGGAGAGCCGCCCAAAGTTCCTACGGGAAACACCCTCGTCTCGCACATGTTCGGCTGCCCGAAATACGTTTCCCGGGCAGAATACGCGGACCGGGAGAAGGCGCTTCTTTCTCGGGCAGCTGCGGTGGCTGGGGAAGAGGGGACGGTTCAATGGGGTGCTGGCCCTGCCACCACATCATCCATGAAGTTTGGTGTGTCAGCAGCTGGAGCAGCCACGTCAGCAGCTAAAGATGCCACGTCAGGGTTGAGTGACACGTCAGCAGGGATGTATGAGTCAGCAAAGGGGCATCCACGTGTGGCAATCATCCCTGAGGGTGGATCGGATGGGCTGGCTCTGCTGGGTGAGTCAACCCTGGTCAAACCGAGTCAACCCTGGTCAAACCGAGTCAACCCTGGTCAAACTGAGTCAAGCCTGGTCAAACCGAGTCAACCCTGGTCAAACCGAGTCAACCCTGGTCAAACTGAGTCAAGCCTCCCAACTCCTTCTGTTAGCCCACCCGCTCCATTGCACTTCCCCTTCCCTACTCTCCACCGCACCTCCTTGCCTCATTACCATCCTCCGTGCTCCGCACTGCAGGTGCTCCGTCTCACTCGCTCCTGCCCCAGTTCTCCCCCCCTTCCCCAGGCCTCCTGCGCCTGGTACATCTGCTCTCAGAGCAAGACAGGGAGCATGAGCAGACGCAAGCAGGGCACAAGGAGCAGCGGAGGCGAGTGGTGGTGGTGGACAGTGGCACGGGCACCACTGCCGTTGGCTGTGCTCTTGCTGTTCATCTGCTGGGGTGAGGCGCACTAGTTCTCATGGGGTGAGGCACCACTGCTTCCTCTTCTTTACTTTTGTTCCCCCACGCCCTACCCTGCCATCCCATCATCCCAACACCCAGCCTGCCCTGGCTCGTGGTGGGGGTAACTCTAGCAGGCACCACTGCTTCCTGTGCTTCACCTTTGCCCCCACCTGCCCTACCCTGCCTCCTCTGCTGTACCTTTCCTCCCTACCCTGCCGTCCCATCACCCCATCATCCCAACACCCAGCCTGCCCTGGCTCGTGGTGGGAGTAACTCTAGCAGGCACCACCGACTACTACACTGCACAGCAGGAAAATCTGCTCAGAAGCTTCGCGGACCAGCTCCCCTTTCTGCTTTCTCAACCAGAAGCGCCATTGCCTGTGACTGGCCGAGGCCAGGAGGAGGATTCTGATAGCACCTCAACAGAGGCAGCAGAAGGGGCAGGGGTGGCAGAAATGGCAGAGGCGGCAGAGAGGGCAGAAGAAGCAGAGGGGGCAGAGGCAGCAGGGGAGGTGGGGCGAGCACAGCAGCAGCTGTCTGCCTGTGCCGGCGCCCTTCCCCTCGTCTGGGTGCCGCGAGAGACGCCCCGCCGGTACGTCCCATGCATTACCACCCTCCCCCCTCCGCATGCTGCGAGTTCATGCAGGCAACAGGCATCCCCATCGACCTTATCTATACCCTCACTGCCTGGTTGTGACATGTCTCAAAGTGAGACTTCTCCTCCACTCCTTCCCTGGCAGCTTTGGCAAGGTTCTACCGGGTGAAATCTCCCAGTGCTGTGAGTTCATGCGAGCAACAGGCATCCCTATTGACCCCATCTACACACTAGCTGCCTGGGAGGTAGCACACGCTTTACCACGCTCCTTCACACTCACTCAGGCTCTAGGGCAAGCCAATGGAGGAGAGACACGTGGGCACGGGCTGGCAAATGAAGGGGACGCTGGAAAGCCTTCTGAGTCTTGTCAACAGCAGGCTGAGGGGCAGAAGCAGCGCTCCCGAGGGCCGAGGGATCCGAGCCATGACGAACAGCTTGCTGAAACGCTTGCTCAGGCTCTGCTTCCGAAGCTGGGCGAGTGGCTCGGGAGCACGCATGTGGTAGGAGACCGTGGAGGAGAGGAAAGGAGCAGCGTTGTTAGCACAGATGATGTTCGTGCAACTGCTGCTGCTGCTGCTGACACCCATGCTCATGCTGATGATATTGCTACGGAAAGCGGTACCATCACCATCACAGTACTGCACACGGGCGGGACTCTAGATATGTTTGGGCTGGCACAGCGCTTCCCTGCCGAATTCTCTCCCAAGGATTGAGACCAGGCTGAGCCATCCTGATTCCTACTGCTTATCTTATGTTGCATGAGTTGCGATGGGCCTCGTGCTGAGTTAACCTAAGCATGGATCGAAGAGTTCGACAGCTCAGCCGTCCATGCCATGCCGCACACGAAAGGTGTTAGTAGCCAAAGCCTTTATGCCGTGTGTTCATGAGTTCAGTTGAGGTGTATCCTTGCAGTAAGCCTCGCAAGCCGTTTGCATGCATATCAGAAAACACCCCAGGTCCACCAGCAGGCATGGTAACCGCCGGCATGAAGCAATCAATTCTACGCAAGGTGTTTCTATTACAGCAAAGCTGAAACAAATCTGAACCTCACAGGCAGTTGTCCTGGAGATCTACGAGCACCCGCCAGCCGGCATCGGCAGTGGTATCAACCGGCAGCAGGAAATCATCCCCCGAAACATTGTCCTTACAAAAAGCTGAGCTAAATGCATATAGCAGGCGTGTGGTTTGCAGAGAGAAGAGAGATCCGAAGGAGCCCTGGTACATGTCAGCCTGCGCGCTGATGGCCATGGTTACCAGGTTCAGCACCTGCTGGAAGGTCCCTTGGGGGCGCCTCAAAAGACGCTGATGGCCATGGTTACCAGGTCCAGCACCTGCTGGAATGGAAGGTCTTCTAAGGGCGCCTCAAAGATCACTGATGGCCATGGTTACCAGGTCCAGCACCTGCTGGAGTGTCCTTTGGGGGCGCCTCAAAAGACGCTGATGGCTATGGTTACTAGGTCCAGCACCTAAACACGCCACACCCCTCTTCTTCCCTCCCCCTCCCATCGCCCCTCCCCCTTCCACTTCCTCACAAGCCGTTGTCCTGTAAATCTAGCAACACCTGCCAGCCAGCATCAGCAGTCGTATCAACAGGCAAAAGGAAATCATCTCCCAAAGCAGCATCCCTGCATGAAGCTGTGCTAAAAGCATAGCGCAGGCGCATGGTCTGGAGAGAGAAGAGAGACCCGAAGGAGCCCTGATACATGTCGGCCTGCGCGCTGATCGCCATGGTTACCAGGTCTAGCACCTGCTGGAAGGTTCCTGGAAAGCGCTTGAGGATGCGCTGGTGGAAGGAGCGCGGGAAGATGAAGCGGACCGGATCGCCGTTGATCTCCCACAGCTTGTACCATGCCTCTCGGACCTGCCAATAAGGGGGATGACACAGCAAAGTGGATTGAAAAAGGAGAGGAACCGGCGAATGGATCGAGCTAGCTGTTTCAGTTCCCCAAAGCTTGCACCGCACTTTCTCCACAGCTTGTACGGCACTTCCCACACCGGAAGCTCCAACCCACCTCATACAGTCACCACGCCCTTCGAAATGAATTCACCGTGCCATGCAGGTACAGCTCTCCTTCACGATGGGGCGCGGATCTTTCAGGCGCGCGCCCGGGCCAAGGCGCGCGCCCGGACCAAGGCGCGCGCCCGGACCAAGTCGCGCGCCCGGACCAAGTCGCGCGCCCGGACCAAGACGCGCCCCCGGACCAAGTCGCGCGCGCGGACCAGGGCGCGCGCCCGGACCAAGGCGCGCGCCCGGACCAAGGGGCGCGCCCGGACCAAGGCACGCTCCCGGACCAAGTCGCGCGCCCGGACCAAGGCGCGCGCCCGGACCAAGGCGCGCGCCCGGACCAAGGCGGGCCCCCGGACCAAGGCGCGCGCCGGGACCAAGGAGCGGGCCCGGACCAAGGCGCGGGCCCGGACCAAGTCGCGCGCCCGGACCAAGGCGCGCGCCCGGACCAAGGCGCGCGTCCGGACCAAGGCGCGCGCCCCGACCAAGGCGAGCCCCCGGACCAAGTCCAGCCCCCGGACCAAGGCGCGCGCCCGGACCAAGTCGCGCGCCCGGACCAAGGCGCGCGCCCGGACCAAGGCGCGCGCCTGGACCAAGGCGCGCGCCCGGACCAAGGCGCGCGCCCGGACCAAGGCGCGCGCCCGGACCAAGTCGCGCGCCCGGACCAAGTCGCGCCCCCGGACCAAGTCGCGCGCCCGGACCAAGGCGCGCGCCCGGACCAAGGCGCGCGCCCGGACCAAGTCGCGCGCCCGGACCAAGGCGCGCCCCCGGACCAAGTCGCGCGCCCGGACCAAGGCGCGCGCCCGGACCAAGGCGGGCCCCCGGACCAAGGCACGCGCCTGGACCAAGGCGCGCCCCCGGACCAAGGCGCGGGCCCGGACCAAGTCGCGCGCCCGGACCAATGCGCGCGCCCGGACCAAGGCAAGCCCCCGGACCAAGTCCAGCCCCCGGACCAAGGCGCCCGCCCGGACCAAGGCGCGCGCCAGGACAAACGCGCACCCGGACCAAGGCGCGCGCCCGGACCAAGGCGCGCGCCCGGACCAAGGCGCGCGCCCGGACCAAGTCGCGCGCCCGGACCAAGTCGCGCGCCCGGACTAAGTCGTGCCCCCGGACCAAATCGCGCGCCCGGACCAAGGCGCGCGCCCCGACCAAGGCGCGCGCCCGGACCAAGGCGCGCGCCCTGACCAAGTCGTGCGCCCGGACCAAGTCGCGCGCCCGGACCAAGGCGCGCGCTCGGACAAACGCGCGCCCGGACCAAGGCGGGCCCCCGGACCAAGGCGCGCCCCTGGACCAAGGCGCGCCCCCGGACCAAGGCGCGCCCCCGGACCAAGGCGCGGGCCCGGACCAAGTCGCGCGCCCGGACCAAGGCGCGCGGCCGGACCAAGGCGCGCCCCCGGACCAAGGCGCACGCCCGGACCAGGGCGCGCGTCCGGACAAACGCGCGCCCGGACCAAGGCGCGCGCCCGGGCCAAGGCGCGCGCCCGGACCAAGGCGCGCGCCCGGACCAAGGCGCGCGCCCGGACCAAGGCGCGCGCCCGGACCAAGGCGTGCGCCCGGACCAAGGCGAGCCCCCGGACCAAGGCGCGCCCCCGGACCAAGGCGCGCGCCCAGACCAAGGCGCGCGCCCGGAGCAAGGCGCGCGCCCGGACCAAGGCGCACGCCCTGACCAAGGCGCGCGCCCGCACCAAGGCGCGCGCCCGGACCAAGGTGCGCGCCCAGACCAAGGCGCGCGCCCGGACCAAGGCGAGCCCCCGGACCAAGTCCAGCCCCCGGACCAAGGCGCGCGCTCGGACCAAGACGCGCGCCCGGACCAAGGTGCGCGCCCGGACCAAGTCGCGCGCCCGCACCAAGGCGCGCGCCCGGACCAAGGTGCGCGCCCGGACCAAGGCGCGCGCCCCGACCAAGGCGAGCCCCCGGACCAAGTCCAGCCCCCGGACCAAGGCGCGCACCCGGACCAAGGCGCGCGCCCGGACCAAGGCGCGCGCCCGGACCAAGGCGCGCGCCCGGACCAAGGTGCGCGCCCGGACAAACGCGCGCCCGGACCAAGGCGCGCGCCCGGGCGTAGGCGCGCGCCCGGACCAAGGCGCGCGCCCGGACCAAGGCGCGCGCCCGGACCAAGGCGAGCCCCCGGACCAAGGCACGCCCCCGGACCAAGGCGCGCGAACGGACCAAGGCGCGCGCCCGGACCAAGGCGAGCACCCGGACCAAGGCGCGCACCCTGACCAAGGCGCGCGCCTGGACCACGGCGCGCGCCCGGACCAAGGCGCGCGCCCGGACCAAGGCGCGCGCCCGGACCAAGGCGCGCGTCCGGACCAAGGCGCGACTCCGGACCAAGGCGCGCGCCCGGACCAAGGCGCACGCCCGGACCAAGGCGCGCGCCCCGACCAAGGCGAGCCCCCGGACCAATTCCAGCCCCCGGACCAAGGCGCGCGCCCCGACCAAGGTTAGCCCCCGGACCAAGTCCAGCCCCCGGACCAAGGCGCGCACCCGGACCAAGGCGCGCGCCCGGACCAAGGCGCGCGGCCGGACCAAGGCACGCGCCCGGACCAAGGCGCGCGCCCGGACCAAGTCGCGCGCCCGGACCAAGGCGCGCGCCCGGACCAAGGCGCGCGCCCGGACCAAGGCCGCACCCGGACCAAGGCACGCGCCGGGACCAAGGCGCGTGCCCGGACCAAGTCGCGCGCCCGGACTAAGGCGCGCCCCCGGACCAAGGCACGCGCCTTGACCAAGGCGCGCCCCCGAACCAAGGCGCGGGCCCGGACCAAGTCGCGCGCCCGGACCAAGGCGCGCGCCCGGACCAAGGCGAGCCCCCGGACCACGTCCAGCCCCCGGACCAAGGCGCGCGCCCGGACCAAGGCGCGCGCCCGGACCAAGGCGCGCGCCCGGACCAAGTCGCGCGCCCGGACCGAGTCGCGCGCCCGGACCGAGTCGCGCCCCCGGACCAAGTCGCGCGCCCGGACCTAGGCGCGCGCCCGGACCAAGGCACGCGCCCGGACCAAGGCGCGTGCCCGGACCAAGTCGCGCGCCCGGACTAAGGCGCGCCCCCGGACCAAGGCACGCGCCTTGACCAAGGCGCGCCCCCGAACCAAGGCGCGGGCCCGGACCAAGTCGCGCGCCCGGACCAAGGCGCGCGCCCGGACCAAGGCGAGCCCCCGGACCACGTCCAGCCCCCGGACCAAGGCGCGCGCCCGGACCAAGGCGCGCGCCCGGACCAAGTCGCGCACCCGGACCGAGTCGCGCGCCCGGACCGAGTCGCGCCCCCGGACCAAGTCGCGCGCTCGGACCTAGGCGCGCGCCCGGACCAAGTCGCGCGCCCGGACCAAGTCGCGCCCCCGGACCAAGTCGCGCGCCCGGACCAAGTCGAGCCCCCGGGCCAAGTCGCGCGCCCGGACCAAGTCGCGCGCCCGGACCAAGTCGCGCCCTCGGACCAAGTCGCGCGCCCGGACCAAGGCGCGCACCCGGACCAAGGTGCGCGCCCGGACCAAGGCGGGCCCCCGGACCAAGGCACGCGCCTTGACCAAGGCGCGCCCCCGGACCAAGGCGCGGGCCCGGACCAAGTCGCGCGCCCCGACCAAGGCGCGCGCCCGGACCAAGGCGAGCCCCCGGACCAAGTCCAGCCCCCGGACCAAGGCGCGCGCCTGGACCAAGGCGCGCCCCCGGACCAAGGCGCGCGCCCGGACCAAGGCGCGCGCCCGGACCAAGGCGCGCGCCCGGACCAAAGCGGCGCCCGGACCAAGGCGGCGCCCGGACCAAGGCACGCCCCCGGACCAAGGCGCGCCCCCGGACCAAGTCGCGCGCCCGGACTAAGTGGCGCGCTCGGACCAAGTCGCGCGCCCGGACCAAGTCGCGCACCCGGACCAAGTCGCGCGCCCCGATGAAGTCGCGCGCCCGGACCAAGTCGCGCGCCGGGACCAAGTCGCGCCCCCGAATCAAGGCGCGCCCTCGGACCAAGGCGCGCGCCCGGACCAAGTCGCGTACCCGGACCGGACCAAGGCGCGCGCCCAGATCAAGGCGCGCGCGCGGACCAAGGCGGCGCCCGGACCAAGGCGCGCCCCCGGACCAAGGCGCACCCCCGGACCAAGGCGCGCGCCCGGACCAAGTCGCGCACCCGGACCAAGGTGCGCGCCCGGACCATGGCCCGCGCTCGGACCAAGGCGCGCGCCCGGACCAAGGCGCTCGCCCGGACCAAGGCGCGCGCCCGGACCAAGGCGCGCGCCCGGACCAAGGCGCGCCCCCAGAGCAAGGCGCTCGCCCGGACCAAGGCGCGCGCCCGGACCAAGGCGCGCGCCCGGAGCAAGGCGCACGCCCGGACCAAGGCGCGCACCCGGACCAAGGTGCATCCCCGGACCAAGGCGCGCGCCCGGACCAAGGCGCGCCCCCGGACCAAGGCGCACCCCCGGACCAAGGCGCGCGCCCGGACCAAGGCGCGCGCCCGGACCAAGGCGGCGCCCGGACCAAGGCGGCGCTCGGACCAAGGCACGCCCCTGGACCAAGGCGCGCCCCCGGACCAAGGCGCGCGCCCGGACCAAGGCGCGCGCCCGGACAAAGGCGCGCGCTCGGACCAAGGCGCGCGCCCGGACCAAGGCGCGCCCCCAGAGCAAGGCGCTCGCCCGGACCAAGGCGCGCGCCCGGACCAAGGCGCGCGCCCGGAGCAAGGCGCACGCCCGGACCAAGGCGCGCACCCGGACCAAGGCGCATCCCCGGACCAAGGCGCGCGCCCGGACCAAGGCGCGCCCCCGGACCAAGGCGCACCCCCGGACCCAGGCGCGCGCCCGGACCAAGGCGCGCGCCCGGACCAAGGCGGCGCCCGGACCAAGGCGGCGCCCGGACCAAGGCACGCCCCCGGACCAAGGCGCGCCCCCGGACCAAGGCGCGCGCCCGGACCAAGGCGCGCGCCCGGACAAAGGCGCGCGCCCGGACCAAGGCGCGCGCCCGGACCAAGGCGCGCGCCCGGACCAAGTGGCGCACCCGGACCAAGTCGCGCGCCCGGACCAAGTCGCGCACCCGGACCAAGTCGCGCGCCCGGATTAAGTCGCGCGCCCGGACCAAGTCGCACGCCCGGACCAAGTCGCGCCCCCGGATCAAGGCGCACCCCTGAACCAAGGTGCGCGCCCGGACCAAGTCGCGCGCCCGGACCAAGGCGCGCGCCCGGACCAAGGCGTGCCCCCGGACCAAGGCGCGCCCCCGGACAAAGGCGCGCGCCCGGACCAAGGCGCGCGCCCGGACCAAGGCGCGCCCCCGGACCAAGGCGCGCCCCCAGACCAAGGCGCGCCCCCGGACCAAGGCGCGCGCCCGGACCAAGGCGCGCCCCCAGACCAAGGCGCGCCCCCGGACCAAGGCGCGCCCCCGGACCAAGGCGCGCCCCCGGACCAAGGCGTGCGACCGGACCAAGGCGCGCGCCCAGACCAAGGCGCGAGCCCGGACCAAGGCGGTTCCCCGGACCAAGGCGGGCGCCCGGACCAAGGCACGCGCCCGGACCAAGGCGCGCGCCCGGACCAAGGCGCGCGCCCGGACCAAGGCGCGCGGCCGGACCAAGGCGCGCGGCCGGACCAAGGCGCGCGCCCGGACCAAGGCGCGCGCCCGGACCAAGGCGCGCGCCCGGACCAAGGCGCGCGCCCGGACCAAGGCGCGCGCCCGGACCAAGGCGCGCGCCCGGACCAAGGCGGCGCTCGGACCAATGCGCGCCCCCGGACCAAGGCGCGCCCCCGGACCAAGGCGCGCGCCCGGACCAAGGCGCGCGCCCGGACCAAGCCGCGCGCCCGGACCAAGGCACGCGCCCGGACCAAGGCACGCGCCCGGACCAAGGCGGCGCCCAGACCAAGGCGGCGCCCGGACCAAGGCGGCGCCCGGACCAAGGCGCGCCCCCGGACCAAGGCGCGCCCCCAGACCAAGGCGCGCGCCCGGACCAAGGCGCGCGCCCGGACCAAGGCGCGCGCCCGGACCAAGGCGCGCGCCCGGACCAAGGCGCGCGCCCGGACCAAGGCGCGAGCCCGGACCAAGGCGCGCGCCCGGACCAAGGCGGCGCCCGGACCAAGGCGCGCGCCCGGACCAAGGTGCGCGCCCGGACCAAGTCGCGCGCCCGGACCAAGTGGCGCGCCCGGATTAAGTCGCGCGCCCGGACCAAGTCGCGCACCCGGACCAAGTCGCGCGCCCGGATTAAGTCGCGCGCCCGGATTAAGTCGCACGCCCGGACCAAGTCGCGTGCCCGCGCCCGTACCAAGGCGCGCGCATGGACCAAGCCACGCGCTCGTACCACGGCGCGCGCCCGGACCAAGTCGCGCGCCCGGACCAAGGGGCGCGCCTGGACCAAGGCGCTCGCCCGGACCAAGGCGCGCCTCCGGACCAAGTTGCGCCTCTGGACGAAGGCGCGCGCCCGGACCAATGTGCGCGCCTGGACCAAGTCGCGCGCCCGGACCAAGTCGCGCGCCCGGACCAAGTCGCGCGCCCGGACCAAGGCGCGCGCCCGGCCAAGGTGCGCGCCCGGAACAAGGCGCGCGCCTGCGCTTGGACCAAGGCGCGCGCCTGCGCCCGGACCAAGCCGCGCGCCCGGACCAAGTCGCGCGCCTGGACCAAGCCGCGCGCCCTGACCAAGGCGCGCGCCTGGACCAAGGCGCGCGCCCGGACCAAGTCGCGCGCTTGGACCATGTCGCGCGCCTGGACCAAGGCGCGCGCCTGGACCAAGTCGCGCGCCTGGACTAAGTCGCGCGCTTGGATCAAGTCGCACGCCTGCACCAAGTCGCGCGCCTGGACCTAGTAGCGCGCTTGGACCAAGTCGCGCGCTTGGACCAAGGTGTGATCCAATGCAGTCATGCACCATCTAGCACCAAGCATCATCCCACCTCTTGATCCAATGCGTCGGTTACAAGAAAGAGCTGTCGAATGCCAGATGCTGATAGCGCACCAAGTAGCAACCCACCTTATACAGTCATGTACCATCCAGCACCGAGCAACCATCCCACCTCTTGATCTGATGCGTCGGTGACAAGAAGGAGCCGTCGAATGCTCGAGGCTGACATCTTGCGCCACAAGCTACCCGCCACCTCATGCAGTCACATGCCTTTTAGGAACCAACCAACCCTCCTCATACAGTCACACACCATCACGCACCAAGTGACCCACCTCTTGATCCGATGCATCGGTGACAAGAAAGAGCCTTCGAATGCCCGAGGCCGACAGCTTGCGCCACAAGCAACCCGCCACCTCAGCAACCGATAGCTGGCAGGCACGGTTACCAACGCCTTTAATGTAACCCCCATCGCCGTCACCACCACCATCACCACTACTACTGCTGCTGCTTCCGCTGCTGCTGCTGGTATTGGTTTTCGTACTATCCTCAATGCTTCTCAACCCTCTTCTCTTGCCTTTCTTCACAAACCCAATGTTGGACTTCGACTCCTTATCTGCTGCAGCTGCTCTTGCTGCTGCTGCATCTGCATCCCCACCCAAGTCGCACCAAAGCAGACCCTCCAACCCAGCCCTCTTCTCATAATTCACCGCTATAAAAGGGACTTTCGCCCCATCACTGCCCGAGAAGAAAGTTTTCTGGATCTCCTTTGCCAGCCGCAGCACCTTCCGGTTGGGCAGGAGCGTGTACGGGTTCGGGCAGCCCGGCGAGCGAACGAACGGCGCATCCCCTGGAAAGTTGACCAGATTCGGAGCATCTGGGACCTCCCAGAACGCGTAGAGCAAGTCCCCCACAAACAGCACCCGTGCAGAGCGAACCTCCGGCGCAGTGTAGACCGAGAGGAACGACCGGAGAGGGGACCGCCGAGTGAGGTTTGCAAAGAGGGCGGTTCGTGGAAAGGTGAGGTCGGGGCGGGCTCGGAACCTCTTGGGGAGAACCGACTTGTCCTTGTACCAGGGCACAAGCGCGTCAATCACAATGGGATGTGCTGTTTCTTCGGGGTCGAAACCCTCTTCAGTCGAAGGATTCTCCTCGTCTTCTGACAGCTTCGATTTTGTTTCCTTATCCTTCTTCTTCTTCTTCTTCTTCTTCCCCTTGAGAAGCCGCCTCCATTGGACCGTCTCTGCTTCTCCCTCTCTCCTCCCTTCTCCATCAACATCCCCTGCGCTTCGCCTCTCTTCCTCTTCCTCGTCCTCCTCCGTCAACCCCTCCCCCCCTTCCACTTCCCCTTCTCTCACCGCCAAACCAGCATCGCCCTGACCAACCAGCATCCTCCTCCTCCCCTCCTCCTCACCCTCCCCTCCTCCCCCTTTCCCCCTCTCCCTCGCTCTCCACTCGTGCGCCAGCAGCACAGTGTCCTCGCCATAGCACATCCTCAGATGCCCAATGTCTACAGCCAGCTCCCACGAGTGCTCGCCCCGCACGCCCTTGGAGTGGAAGCGGCCCACCAGCAGAGTGCGGTTGAGCAGCCCTGCCAGCAGCAGGTGGTGCTGTAGACACACCAGCCGCTCGCTCAACTGCCAGAGGGAGTGGTGAGTGGGGGAAAGGAGAGTACGAGAGGGATGAATGAGGGGGAAGCGGATGAGAGAGGTGGGTTGGATGGGAGGTGATGGGAGGGGTGGGTTGGATGGGAGGGGATGGGAGGGGTGGATTGGATGAGAGGGGATGGAAGGAGTGTGTTGGATGGGAGGGGATGGAAGGGGTGGGTTGGATGGAAGGGGATGGGAGGGGTTTTCTGGTTGGGAGGGGATGTGAGGGGTGGGTTGGATGGGATGGGAAACCAGTGGAGTATAACCAAGCGGCCAGACAACCCCCCTTCCTCTCATTCCCTTCCTCATCCCCCTCTCCTTCCCTCCCTCTCCTTCCGTTCCTCCACGCCCTCACCTTGCCCTTGTGGCACGAGAGCAGCAGGTACCGGTCCGCCTCTGGTTTCCATTGCAACAGACCGTTGCCACCGCCACCACCACCACCACCACCACCACCACCACCACTCTTGTTGCCGTTAGATGCAGCAGCAGACGCTGCCGCTGCCGCTGCCGCTGCTGCTGCTGCTGTGGTGCGCTTCTCGCTGAACAGACGCGTGGCGCCACAGTGACGCGCCAGCTGGCGGTTGCGAGTCTCTAGAGCCAATAGGAACGCAGGGATTCTGGAGCACGATGGTGAAGTGTGGGAGGGGAGCGGAGAGAGCATGGGAGAGGAAGGGGAATGCGGGTGGATGACATGTCAGGAAGTGTGAACGCTTCGAGTTTGACAATGATAGCTGAAACGTCAAGATGCCACGTGGCGTTACAGGCATGCAACATTGTTCGGGTGACTTATGTGAATCATGGAAAGAGGAAAATCGTCACGTGCCTCCCTATTATCACTCCACGCTCCCTGAGCACTTTCAGTACTCCCACCCTTTGACGTCTCCCACTTTCCCTCGTTCAACAATGCTCTCCCTGCTTACTGGTCCTTCGCACTCCCAGCTGCTTCAGTGTCTCCCGCATTCTCTGCATCCGTAGCAATGGTACTCGTGCTAGTCGGTAACCCTATTCGCAGCAGCTCGTTAACGTGCGATCCAGCTGCCTCTTCAGCCTCCGCCTCAGATTCCTCATTCCCAGAATCAGCTTCGGAACCTTCCGGGACATCGTCCGGGATTTCCGGAATCTCTGCAAGTTCCGGGATCTCCGGCGGCGCTTCTAACGGCTCTGATTCGTCCGAGCCGCTCGCCAGGGGACCCTCAGCTAACACAGGTAGTGTGTGCTTTGACGAGATGAGGGAGAATGAGAATAACAGAACGACACATAATCGCGCAGCTATTTTCATGTCTGAAGAACTTTGCACAGATAAGCGCGGAGAAAAGAAGATGCGTGCTTCATTAGACAGGAGATTCAGGCGTCAGCATGAGTAGTAGCTGTTTCTTCTGGGAGCTCAATCGAATTCGGTTGTCAACACGAGTGAATCTGACTGATACAGTGAGGGAAAATATGGAGGCAGGACGCGTTTCCATCCCACAAACATCAATAAATGGTTCACAGTACAGTAAACGGAAAAAAATGTAATGAAGATCTGCTGATATGGCAGATATAGATTTTCCAGTATGCAAGAAGTGCTTCTTCAATGTCAAAGACATGAGAAACTAGTGCAACTTATTTCATCCATAACATCCCGACCTGGTGGCGACACTATGGTTCTCTACAATCACAGAAAAAACAAGGAATATGATTTGCAAATATATTGATAAATCTTGCAGGTTTTATTTCAGAATGCAGCAGTAGGTGATTTGAGCATGTACGGTAAAGCTGGACAAGTAAGCACCATTCTATAGATCATTTTTTTCCAGGTGGTACAGGTGTAGTAGCGGTCGAATAAACGAATCGAAGCGTCAGTTTGACGTCAGGTTCCCGCGGGCCCCTCAGACTCCGCAGTCGCGCTGATTGGCGGAACAGCATCCTGTGCGCAGAGGGATCAGTGGTGCGCTCTGCGCGCGCTTCACTGCTTCCCCTTCCTCTGCCCTCTCCGCCCCCCTTTCTCCTTGGCTAGGTTCACCTAAAAAGGGGCGAAAAATGCTCAACTAGGACCTAGAAATTGCAACCCTGGGGGGTTATCTACTCGAGAATTCAGTGCAGACTTCCTTGATTCCTCGCTGGCGCTTCCCTCGAGCTTGTCGTAAACTCCACCTGCTTTTCCAGTCTCCGTCTGGCAAGATCTCGTATTTCCCCGTCAGGAGAGTAAATTGCAGCCATCTTAGTTAAGTCTGGCATTCTAGGGCTGGCCTCTGCGCCCTCTAATTCACCCTTTTCCGTTTCAGAGCCACGGGGAACCAAGATTTTGTCGACTGAGGCACTTAGTCGCCTTCTCGTGGAATAACTCAAGCGGTTAGGTTAAACAAAACTGCTTATCACCCCTTTGGAAGGCTTCTAATGGAGCAGCAGGAGCACGACGATATCAATGAGGGCATGGAGCAGCTAGCAATTCACGGTCCCTTGCCCATCGAGCAGCTAGAGGTAACACAAGAGGTCAATCGCGAGCCTTTTGATGGATCATATGTAGTGTACTAGTTATTACGAAGCCTCATGCGCATTTGAGTTCTTTTCTTTTCTGCAGCAATGCGGAATTTCTGCGACGGATGTGAAGAAGCTTCGTGAAGGAGGATTGTTCACCGTCGAAGCTGTAGCTTACACAAGTAGAAAAGACCTCCTCAAGATTAAAGGCATCAGCGAGGCAAAAGTCGACCGTCTGAACGAGGCAGGCAAGTTCCGCTCGTTGTGACATGACGCTTCTTCCCGTTCAGTACGTCTTTATGAAGTTTCGTGTCTCTTTTGCTTATGCAGCCAGTAAGCTGGTTCCGATGGGGTTCCAGAGTGCAACTCACGTGCATCAAATGAGAAGCAACGTCATTCATTTAACTACAGGATCGAAGGAGCTCGATGCTATCCTGCAAGGTAATTAACTTATGCAGTGGGATACAGCTGATGCGTGAAACATGGATTAGGTTACTGTGATGCCAGCCGTTCAAGACGTGACGATCTAAACGTTGGAAACTTTATTCTCAGGTGGTGTGGAGACAGGGTCCATAACGGAGATCTATGGCGAGTTTCGCACAGGAAAGACACAGCTTTGCCTCACATTGGCTGTCACTTGTCAAGTGAGTATTTATTTTTCCGTCTCAGTTGGGATGTGTGCGGTTCTCTCCAATCTTTTACTAACACTTTTACTGATTCTGCCTGCAGCTTCCAGTGGCCGATGGCGGAGGCGAGGGCAGGGCACTTTGGATTGACACGGAAGGAACATTCAGACCAGAGCGGTTGGAAGAAATTGCTCCGCGATATGGACTTATAACCTCTGAAGTACTTGACAATATAGCGTATGCACGAGCGTACAACACAGATCACCAGACGCAGCTGCTCATTGAGGCAGCATCCATGATGTCCGAGAGCAGGCAAGTGGCATTTGTTAGACGTTTTGATTTGGTTGTGGTGCTGTTAATTTTCGTGTATGTAGGTCCTTTTTGTGCTGACTATTATGCTGTGTGTATCATTGCTGCAGATTTTCGCTGATAATAGTTGACAGCGTCACAGGCCTCTACAGGACTGACTACTCAGGCAGAGGAGAATTGTCAGCGCGGCAGATGCATCTAGCTCGATTTTTGAGAACTCTGCAGCGGCTTGCAGATGAGGTAACATTTTTCCCCTCTTGTTGCCGCACCACTCCTGCTATCAGCCGTCATTATTGGAACTCACTGGAATGTTTATTTGTGACTGCCAGTTTTCTTGTGCAGTGGTGGTGACCAACCAAGTGGTGGCTTCTGTCGAAGGCAACATGTTTGCTGGCCCTCAAGTGAAACCCATTGGAGGCAACATTATGGCTCATTCATCCACAACAAGGTACCCAGTCTATCTGAGGGTGTTTTCCCTAACTGATGCTGTGACTGCGCTGACTCCTGGTGTGTTGCTTGATTCAGGCTTTCCGTGAGAAAGGGAAGGGCAGAGGAGAGAATTTGCAAGATTATTTGCTCACCTTGTCTGCCAGAGGCGGAGGCGAGATACTGCATTGCTGAAGAGGGGATTACTGACTGCAAAGATTGAGGGAGTGTGTTCTGTTTTGTGCTTCAGCATATTTATACGGATGCAAGTGCAATGAAGGTTGCACTTGCGTGTTTGGATAGCTGCACATTGTAATGCTATTTTATACAATTGCATTTAACCCTAAGGTTGCGCAATTCAGCCTAGGCTGGTTGCCAGTGTAAATGCGCACAATGCTTTTGCCATTTCCGCACTAACGAAGCCCGAACTTGCCACGTGTTCGTGAAGATGGAGCCACTGCGTGGAGATGTCACATGTGACAAGCCTCAAACTCGAACCAAAAATGCCAACAACCAGACAAATTTGCTGCTCCCCGAACCTGACGTGGTCCTGAGGAGGTTTGTGCTTGGCGCTTATCGAGGCTGACGTGCTGGTTCGTTTTGAAACTTCCGGTTCGGCTCGCGCAAGCCTGCTCGGCTGTTATTTTCTGTACAGTGCAGTACTTCACTTGCTACTGTACATTATTTCGTCTTTCTTACCTGTATAGGCACGGCACTAGGAACTACAAGTTCGTTGAGCGCTCTCCTTTTCAATGGGGAGTCTAGGATTTTCAGCCGAAAAGTGGTGTCTTGGACACTTCAGGGACTAGCAGGCTTGTCCTGCCATGCATTAGGTTTTCCGTCAGCTTGAGCTCAAGCCGGCAATGCCTTTTGAATTGAGGGCACTGAGGACTACGAGTCGCTGAACGCGCCAAGCCGTAGGCATTTCTGTTCGGTCTTATGTTGGGCAGCTAGCTTTTGCTGTTGCTGCGGTGAAGTATTAATAGGGACACGATGAAAGATACAGCTGTTGTCATTCGGTAATGTTGTCACCGTAAAGCACAAACCGTGCGCTGACGTAAACAGAAATATTTTTTCTAGAAGATGCCGAAGCCTCTGCTACGACACCCATCCAACCCTGTCCCAGACCAATGCCCCCGCGCTCCTCTTCCCGACTCCATACACGAGCTCGCATCGCGCGTCTTCGGTTCCGGAAAGTCCGGGAACAGGAAATTTCTAACCGCGCACAAGGGCACAAAGAATGCTGCGCGGAAAGGCCAGGATGAGGGGGGGACGGCGGGGCAGCGGTTCGTGGCGACGGCGGGGTTCGTGTCGATCGAGGCGGCGTCCGTGATGCAGCAGGCGCTGCGGCTGTGGTCCATGATGAGTCCCGTAGAGATCGAACGGCTCATGACCAGCCTCCAGGTGGGGCCTCGGATGATTAGCCTAAGTGAGTTCCTTGACGGGTACGCTTAAGGCCGCTCGTGCTTCAATCGAAGGCTTTACGCTAGACCTCGCGTGCTGGAGATAGTATGAAAGCGTTTAGTCGAAACTGCCCTGCTTCGCGTTTCGAGATGTCTCGAAACTGCCATGCGTCGCTGGTGTTAATGCCCCTTTCTTCGCGTGCTCTGCTCCCTTCCCCCATTCTTCCCCTCTCGTGCCACCCGTCCCATCTCCCTCGTCGCGCGTGTCCGCATGGCAGGACACGGCCCTCATTCTCTTCGTCTACCACGATCCCGTGCACCTCTGGACGCTCGCTGGTACGTGCCGTGCACCTGGTATGTGCGGGCTAGGCGGGCTGTTGCGGGTATGATTGCGTCTGATGCGAGTGTGATTGTTTCCGATGCGGATATGATTGCGTTCCATGCGGTGCAGTGGAGAGTCTGGAGAAAGCTGGCGGAGCGAGTGGCGGCGATGGGCATGAAGTGCGAGGAAACGCGTCTGCACAGAGTGACAGCCCTTTTTACACCCCCTCCCACTCCCCCTATCCCCCCATCCCCCCCCCCTCTCCCCTCCCCCCAGGCCTGGAGCTGATGGAGAGTCTGGAGAAGATGGCGGAGCGCATGGCGGCGATGGGCATGAAGTGCGAGGAGACGCGGCTGCACGTAGTGACGGCCCCTTTTTCACCCCCTCCCACTCCCCCTCACCCCGCCCATATCCCCCCAACCACCCACACCACCCGCCAGGGTTAGAGCTGATGGAGAGTCTGGAGAAGCTGGCGGAGCGGGTGGCGGCGATGGGCATGAAGTGCGAGGAGACGCGGCTGCACGGGCTGGCGTTCTATTTCAACGAGCTCCGCCACCCCGCCACCCAGTTCCCCGCCTTCCGCCTGCAGCCGGGGGAACAGGAGAGCCTCATGTGGTGCGCGGGGAAGAGTTTGGTAGGGGGAAGAAGGGCTCGTGTGGTGGGAGGGTGGGGGAGTGGGAAACGGGAAATTGAGCTTCATGTGCTGTGTCGAGGCATTTGAGAGCAGAGTGAGAGATCTGTCATCCTTTGCCGCTCTCTGCCGTCCCCTGCTCTCCCTGTTCTTCCAACCGCCGGTCTCCCTTTCCCCCTACCCCCCCTGTTCTCCCTTCCCTGTTCTTCCCTCTCCCACTCGCCTATGCTGTCGCAGCTACATACGGGAGCAGGTGGAGCGAGTGGAGGAGTGGTCTCCTCTTCGCTGTTGTGCACCTCGGCGGGACCAACCGCTGCTCTCCTCCCCCTTCCAACCCCCCACAACACCTCCCCGGAACCCCCTTCCCCCCCCCCCCCCCCCCCCCCCCCCTCCCCTACATCCCGCTTCTCTTACTCGCCTGTGCTGGTCCAGCTACATGCGGGAGCAGGTGGAGCGAGTGGAGGAGCTGCGGCAGTGCATGGAGCGGATCAACACTGTGCGCTCCAGCATCAAGTGAGTGCTCTTATAACGAGTCAGCCAGTGGTGCGCCTCCTCGAGTAGGCGGGCTTATGCACCTGGTGTGCTTCTGGATAAAGTGCGTGCTCTTGCATCAAATGAGAGCTCGTATGTCTCGTGAGTGGGTAGTGGGTTCCAGTTCATTGCTCACCATTACTTACTCAGTGTGTTGTGTCTCTTCCCAATTTGACTGACCAACCGGTCATCTCATCTCATTGCATGTCCTCCCCCTTCCCCCCACCATCATGGCGCACCACATCATGGGTTGCATGGCATATGATGGCATGGCACATCATGGCATGGCATATGATGGTATGGCACATGACGGCATGGCACATGATGGCATGGCACATGACGGCATGGCACATGATGGCATGGCACATGACGGCATGGCAGGAAGATGCAGGGGCTGGTGTCGCAGTCGTCTGCCTCCTCCAACCTGCTGGCGGAGCTCGAATCCGTTTCTGAGGACTACGAGCTCGACGACAACGACCCCCCACAGTGCGTGCTCCCATGCCTTCATGCCCCTCCTTGCTGCACATACCTTGCTCTGCCATGCCTTTGCATGTTCCCCACGCCTCTGCCTCCTCCAACCTGTTCCCTGAGCCCAACTCCCAGTTCTTCCGTGCCCCCCTCTCACCCAGACCCAGCAGTAGCAGCAAGGCCAGCAGCAACACAAGAAGCAGCGGCAGCAGCAGCAGCAGCGGCGGCAGTGGCAACAGCTCGCTGCTGCGGGAGATGAGTGACTCGTTTGATGATGCGGTGCTGGGGCAGCTGGGCATGGCCAGGACCAACCTGCCCTGCGACATCCCCGGAGGGGAGGAGATCTTCCGACTGGTCAGCTTGCTTCTACCTAGCCTCTTGTGCTCATAGCGAGTCTGTTTATAGCGAGTCTAAGCATGGCCAAGACCAACCTGCCCTGCAACATCCCTGGAGGGGAGGATATCTTCCGACTGGTTAGTTGCTGCTTGTAGCTAGCCTGCTGTGTTCAGAGCGAGTCTGACTGCAGCGAGTCTGTTTATAGCGAGTCCAATTGTAGAAATTGTGTTCTCTCTCTCGGAGATGCATTGACTCGCGAATTTCTTTATCAAGTCTACTCAAACCTCTCCACCTCCTCCCTACCCCCTTTTCCTCCCACCCTTCCCCACCTTCGCCTTCCTCTCCTCCCGTTCCACTCCTCCCCGCCATCGCTCGCTCTCTTTAATCTTGCAGATGACTCGGCTCACAGAGCTGCAGGCGAGGACGCTCTGGGCAGTGGAGCTGGACCACGTTGTCAGGGTGGGTGGGGCGAGGGCGTATGGGAGGAGGGCGGGTGGGAGGGGGCTGAATGGGAGTAGGGTAAGTGGGACTACAGTGACAGGGGGATACGGGTCAACATAACTGCAGGCGAGGGCCCTCTGGGCAGTGGAGCTGGACCGTGTTGTCAGGGTGGGTGGGGTGAGGGTGGGTGGGGTGAGGGTGGGTGGGGTGAGGGTGGGTGGGATGAGGCCCATGAGGGTGCGTGAGATGAGTACTGAAGAGACTGTAGTGACAGGGGGATACGGGTCAACATAACTGCAGGCGAGGGCCCTCTGGGCAGTGGAGGAGCTGGGCCGCGTTGTCAGGGTGGGTGGGGTGAGGGTGGGTGGGATGAGGGTGGGTGGGATCAGGGGTGGTTCGGATAAGGGTGGGCGGGATTATCTCGAGAAGGACTTGAGTGTGTCAGTGAATTTTCACAGGGGTGATTGTAGCAAAAGATCTCAACCTCCCCTCCCCCATCCCTCCCTCGCCCACACACGCCACCAGATCCTCTTGTTAACCATCTTCATGATCCGGGACCGTGTGCTCTCCGTGTTCGGCATTGGCGCCCACTCCGAAGAGAGCATGTCGGAGAACTCTCTCTCTCCCCTTCCTCCACCAAACCTGTTTTTGAGTCGGCTCATAAACGTGTGCTCTCCATGTTTGGCATCGATGCCCACTCCGAAGAGAGCCTGTCGGAGAGCTCTCTCTCTCCGCTTCCTCCCCCAAACCTTTCCCCTTGCTCCCCCCCCTCTCACGCCTTCCCTCCCACTGTAGATCCTCGTGTTAACCATCTTCATGATCCGGGACCGTGTGCTCTCCGTGTTTGGCATCGATGCCCACTCCGAGGAGAGCGTGTCGGAGAACGAGACGCTGGGGTCGGCAGGCCTGGCGCTGCGCTATGCGCGCATCATCCTGCTCGCGGAGAAGCTCATGAAGTACCCCTTCATGGCCGCTGGCGGCACCAGGTAACGCCTCTCCTCCCTCCCTTATGCGGCATGGTCTGGGGCCGGCCTGGCACTGCCTGATGCATCATCCTGTGCTCGCGGAGAAGCTCATGAAGCACCCCTTCATGGCGACCTGCAGTATCAGGTACATTCTTCTTCTGTCTTTGTCCGTCTCTGGCTGGCTGTGGGGCATGGAGGTAGTAAGGGATGTGCGGTAGTGCATATGTGGGCCATCATCAGCAACTTGGCGCTGCGCTATGCCTTTCGAGAATTCTCAAAAGTCATTCCAACTTGGCGCTGCGCTATGCGCGCATCATCCTGCCTGCTCGCAGAGAAGCTCATGAAATACCCCTTCTCCTCTTAAGAGATTGAAACCCCCCCCGCCCTCTGCCCCCACTCCCCTCTCTCACTGCCTCCCGTCTCGTCTCCCCTTCCCTCCCTCCAGGGACGAGCTGTTTGGCATGCTGACGAACGATATGCGCACCATCCTAGCAGGCCATTGTCTGGTTTACTGAACATTCATTTCCTCGTCGCCCCTCTTCCTTCCACACCCCTCTCCCCCCTCCCTCCTCCCAGGGACGAGCTGTTTGGCATGCTGACGAACGACACGCGCACCATCCTAGCAGGCCACCTTCTGAGTAGAGAGAATAGACCCTCCCTTCCCTCTACCCCTCTCACTGCCTCCCTACTCCCTGTCCCCCTTGCCCCCCACCAGGGACGAGTTGTTTGGCATGCTGACCAACGACATGCGCACCATCCTAGCCGGCCGCCTGGTCCTCCCAACCCCTCTCCCTGCCTCAAACTCCACCCGCCCCCTCGCTACCCACACAGGGACGAGCTGTTTGGCATGCTGACCAACGACGTGCGCACCATCCTAGCAGGCCACCTCAACCTTCCAATCCAACCCCCCTCCCTGCCCCAAAACCCAACACACACCCACCCTTCCCCCCCCCCCCCCCCCCTCCCCACTCCCCCCCTCGCTACCCACACAGGGACGAGCTGTTTGGCATGCTGACGAACGATATGCGCACCATCCTAGCAGGCCGCCTGGTCCCAGTCATGAAGGAGGAGCAGCAGAAGCGCGAGCAGGAGGAGGAGGCTCGGCGCCGAGCCGGCCTCCCCCGAGCCGCCTCCTCAGACTCGGACGAAGATGAGGACGGATTCGTGTGGCTCGGGAACAAGGGGGGAGCAGCGGGAGGAGGGGGCGCAGCAGGGAAGGGCGGAGGGCAGGCAGGGAAGGGAGGGAAGGACGGAGAAGACGAGGAGGAGGCGGAAGCACCGTGGGAGCGGAAGCTCAAGTGGGGAATGGAGTTTCTACCCACACTCGCTCGCAACACCATCACCTTTTCGGAGCTCAATTCCATCCGGAAAACGTCTGTCACATCAAGCAACCACGTGCTGAGAGTTCAAACGCTCTTCCACGCACAAAAGGACGCCGTCAGTGCCACCCTAATCGACTCCTTAGAAGGCCTCTCGCTCCTCGTCGCATCTGATCCGTCCAATACCACGCAGATCCGGTCGAAGAAAGCCGCTGCGCTGGCGGCTGCAAGGGCAGAGAAAGCGCAGGCGAAGTCGGGCGAACCGCGGCAAGTGCTTGTAACGGGGATATTTAAAGCGAAGCGGACGACGAGTTGCAGCCCCACGGACGGGATTGGCAGCTCGCCTCTGCTGCTCTCCCAGTCGTCTCTGTCCTCCTCCCTCCTCTCCTCTTCCTCCTCCTCTGTTGCCCCCTCTGCATCTCCATTTAGGTCATCTTCTGCCTCTGCTGCTGTCCTGGCTGCTGCTATGGGTGGGGATGGGAGGGACTCAGCTGCTGCTGCTCTCCGGGCTATACGGGGGGGAGGGGGAGGAGGCGGAGGGGGAGGAGGCGGAGGGGGAGGAGGGGGGAAAGGAGGGGGCGTTGTGAAACTGCCGTTTGTTAAGGGAGGCAAGCAGGCGGGCGCTAAGGGTGCTGCTGCAGCGCCTGCTGTAAAAGCTGCTGGTGGTGCGGCTGGCGTGGGGAAGGTTCCAGGAAAAGTGAAGCCACTGTGGGAAGAGGATACAGACGAGCAAGACCTTGTGAGATCGGTGCTGTCGACGTGCCAGGAGGAGAGAGGTGCGGGCGAGAAGGGAGCGGCGGGGAGAAGAGAGCAGGTGTGGGCGAGAGAGACAGGAGGCAGGATGATGCTGCGTGGGGGGTCGGAGAAAGAGCGGAAAGGAAAACCGGTGAAGCCCTTATGGGAAGAGGATACAGACGATGAGGATTTAGTCAGGTCTGTGACTCTACCTGCGAGGAAGGACGGGGTTGGGAGCAAGGGAGGGCAGGAGGGGGCCGGGGAGGACGGAGGGAAGAAGAAAATGCTCTGGGAGGAAGATTCCGACGATGAGTCGCTGGTTCGCGCGGTAACCGCATCTGCTACCACCGTCGCTGCAGCTGTTACAGCTGCTGGCGTGGGCCGAGGGACTGGGGGGCCTGCACGTGCTAGAGGTGCAGGTGTGGGCGGTAGAGGTTCTAGTGTGGGGGGTAGAGGGGTTGGAGGGGGAGGGAGAGGGGCAGGTGGAGGGCAGAAGAAGGTGCAGCCTCTGTGGGAGGAAGATTCTGATGATGAGAGTCTGGTTCGTGCTGTCACTGCTGCTTCTGCTGCCCCTGCTGGTGGCGGTGCTGTGGGCAATGCTGCTGCGGGGCCCAATGTTGGCGGCTCGCGCTCGTCGGTGCAACCGGTGACGCCGCGAGGAGCTCGCATGCAGCGATTGGACGCGGCGAAATGGGCAGATGAGCGAGGAGGGCGGGAAGGGCGAGAGGGGCGAGAGGGGCGAGAGGGGGGGGAGCGGGTAGATGGGCGGGACGGAAGAGAGAGACGAGATGGGGGGGACAGGCGAGACGTTCGCATGCAGCGGCTGGATGCAGCGAAATGGGCGGACGGGCGAGAGGGGGGCGGTGGGGCCGGTGGGCGGGAGAGGAGGGACGGGCCTGACGGGCAGGAAAGGCGAGACGCTCGCATGCAGCGATTGGACGCGGCGAAATGGGCAGACGGACGAGACGGAAGAGATGGGAGAGATGGGAGAGATAGGCAAGAGGGGAAAGCAAGTGGAAGAGGGGGAGGGGGAGGGGGAGGGGGGAGGGGGAGGGGGAGGGGGAGGGGGAGGGGGAGGAGCAACGGGAGGGATAGGAGGAGCGAAGCCTCGGCCGTTGTGGGAGGAGAATGCGGAGGACGAGGACATGGTGAGGGCCGTTGCTGTGCCCACCCCCCCCCGCTCTGCCACCCCCCCCCCCCGCTCTGCCACCCCCCCTCCCCGCTCTGCCACCCCCCCTCCCCGCTCTGCCACCCCCCCTCGTGTGGGACCAATAGCCTCTGGTCGAGGAGCGGGAGGGAGGGCGGACGCGGTAATGGGAGGGAGGGTGGAGGAGAGGGCAGGTAGGAGGGTGGAAGGGAGAGGTGCGGGAAAGGATGGGAGGAGGGAAGAGGGGGCGGAGGAGGGGATGGAAGGAGGGGTGGAGGTTGGGAGAAAGGGAAGAGCGGAATATATGCGTTTGGCAGAAGAGGGAGAGGGTTGGGAGGAAGGGGAGGAGGAGTGGGATGAGGAAGAGGAATGGGAGGAGGGAGAGGAGGAATGGGAAGGAGAAGAGGGAGAGGAGGAATGGGAAGGGGAAGAGGAAGAGGAGGAACGTAATGAGGCGGCTGTGAGGGCCGGGCAGGTGAGCAGAAAAGAGGGCATGGGCGGGGTCAAGCAGCAACCGGTGCAGGATGAATGGCAGCGGCAGCAAGCGGAGCAGGAGGCGTGGGAGCAGGAGCAACTGGAGCAGGAGAAGTGGGAGCAGGAGGAGTATCAAAGGGGACAGCAGCAGAGGCAGGTGCAGAAGCCAAAGCAGCAAGTGACCTGGAACCAGCCTCACTCACAGGAGGAGGGTGAGGAGGAATATGAGGGAGAGGAGTACGAAGGAGATGAGGAGGAGTACGCTGAGGAGGAAGAAGAGGAAGAGGAAGAGCCGGTGGTGCCTGTGAGAGCCATGGCCCGCGCAGCCACCGCACCCACATCTCGCCTTGATAAAATATCCAAGTCAGCGGGTGCTGATGCTGGGGGGAAGAAGAAGAGCGGGAAGAAAGCTGCTCTACATCGGGTGGCGTCTGAATCTACCACTTCTGACCTCTATGCACCCAGCCAAAATGCACGGGGAGCAGGGGGACTTGCTCCTGGTCTGTATCAGGGGCCTCAGAAGTCGCCTGGTGTGGGGCGGCAGCAGCGGCAGATGCATGTGCATTGGGACGAGAGCGTGGGCGCTGGTCGAGGGGAGCGAGGAGAGAGAGGGGAGAGATGGGAGGGAGAAGCGGAGGAGAGGCAGTGGCTGGGTGCGGGTTCCGCGTCGGAATCGGCTGCTTCGGGAAAGGAAGGGAAGAAGGGGAAAGGTGCGAAGAAAGGGACCGACCAGGGGAATGCAGATGGGGAGAAGGGGGAGAGGGCAGCAGGAGAGGGAGGAACAGGAAAGAAGAAGCAAACCAGGGAAGCAAAGAAGGCTGGGAAGAAGGTTTCAAAGAAGGGTGTAGCGCAGCAGGGGGGTGGGGGAGCGGAGGAGGAGGAGGATGGGCTAGGAAGGACCGTGAGTGCAGCTTCTTCCGCCTCCCGCTCTTCCTCTGGTACATCATCCTCGTCTGCTAAGGTTGAGAGGCGGAAATCGGGGGAGATGGAGGGCGGGAAGAAGAGTGGGAAGAAGGCAGGGCAGACCCCCCAGCCTCAGGTGGCAGTGTGGGAAGGGGACGAGGAGGAGGAGGGGTTGGTTAGGTCTGGATCTTCTGCGGGTGCTGCTGCTGCTGGTGTTGGGGGGAAGGAGAAGTCAGGTAAGAAGAAGGAGAGAGAGGCGAAGAAGAAGCAGCAGGAGCTGCAAGAGCAGCAGGAGCGGCAGGAGCGGCAGCGGCAGAAGGAGTTGCAGGAGCAGTTGCAGCGGCAGCTGCAGCAGGAGAAGCGGCAGCGAGAGGAGGAGGAGGCGGAGGAGGAGCGGCAATGGCAGCTGCAGCAGCAGCAGCAGCAGCAGCAGCAGCAGCAGCAGCAGCAGGAGCAGGAGAGGCGAAGAGCAGCATCAGCCAGTAGGAAGGGTCGAGCAGGGGCTGGGGCTGGGAACACTCCCCGTGTGTCTTCTCCTGCTGCCTCTGCTTCCCGCTCGTCCCACTCCCCTTCCCCCTCCTCTCGCACTGCCAACACCAGCACTCGCCCCCAGGCAAGCCACTATGCAGGCCCGCAAGAAAGGTACGAGGAAGAGGAGGAGGAGGAGGAGGAGGAGGAAGAAGAGGAGGAGGAGGAGGATGAGGAGGAAGAAGAGTATGAAGAGGAGGTGGAGAGTGAGAGGTACAGAGGGCGGATGGAGGAAGGGAGTATAGATTTCGATGCCTCTCACCAGGAACTCGCCTTTGGGGCGGGGCAAGGAAGGCAGGAGCAGAGAGGGGTGGTGGGGGGAGGCAGTTTGGACTTTGATGCTCCCCAACACGAGCTGCCCTCTCCCTCTCAAATGCCATCCGGAGGGCTGTTTGCTGCACGGCAGCAACAGTGGCAGCAGCAGCAGCAGCAGCAGCAGCAGCAGCAGCAGCAGCAGCAGCAGCAGCAGCAGCAGCAGCAGCAGCAGCAGCAGCAGCAGCAGCAGCAGCAGCAGCAGCAGCAGCAGCAGCAGCAGCAGCAGCAGCAGCAGCAGCAGCAGCAGCAGCAGCAGCAGCAGCAGCAGCAGCAGCAGCAGCAGCAGCAGCAGCAGCAGCAGCAGCAGCAGCAGCAGCAGCAGCAGCAGCAGCAGCAGCAGCAGCAGCAGCAGCAGCAGCAGCAGCAGCAGCAGCAGCAGCAGCAGCAGCAGCAGCAGCAGCAGCAGCAGCAGCAGCAGCAGCAGCAGCAGCAGCAGCAGCAGCAGCAGCAGCAGCAGCAGCAGCAGCAGCAGCAGCAGCAGAAGCAGAAGCAACAGCAGCAGGCAGCAGTGTCGGCATCACGAAATCAGTACTACGATGATGATGAGGATGAATACGCAGGTAACGCACACAATCAGTATGGTGGCCCTGCTGATAGCAGGGACGGCGGCAGGGGCGGATGGAACCAGGAATATGAATACGAAGAGAAGGAGGAAGTTTTGAAGGGAGAGGATGAGGAGTGGGACGAGGAGGCCGAAGAGGAACTGTACAACCAAGGAGCAGGCAGAGAAGCAACAGGAGCAGGTGGTGCCATTACGTCTCTATCTCCCTCCGCTGCTGCCTTCTACCTCGCTACAACCTCCTCCTTCGCCCACGAAGACCCAGTTGACTCCTCCCCCCCAGACACCTCCTCTGGCTTCCCCCCTCCAAAGCCATCCCCCCGGCAAGCCCCTCGCTCACCCACCTCTGCTTACGCCGCACCTCCCTCTTCCTCTCTAACCGACGCTGCTCCTGCTGCTGCTGGTGCTGGAGCTGGGAAGAAAGAGCGGTCAAAGTCCCCTTTGGCTCGGCTGAAGCGCTCCCTCTCCCCTCTCTCTCGCAGGCATGCCTCTCCTGGTAAATTAGGATCAGCAGGTAATAGCACTGCTGCAGCTGCAGCTGCTGCAGTGGCTGCTGCCGGTGGTAGCAGCATGGGTTCTTTCTCGGAGCTGCAATCTCAACCGAGCCTGTCGTCAGGCTCGATCAGCAGCTCGCCGAGCCAGTCCATGGATCGGCAGTCCCCGAGCCTGATGATGCTGGATCGGGTCTCCCCAACCAACTCAATGGAGAGGCGGAACCCGCAGGAGCGGGGTGGGCTGGATCGGGACCGAGGGTCAATGGAACGAACCTCCATGGATAGACGATTGTTCGACCGCCACTCGTCCTCTCCTTCCCATGACCGGATCTGGGGTCAACAACAGCAGCAGCAGGCGGAGGGGTCTGCTTCTCCTGACGTTCATGCCGATGGTAGGTCTATTGGAAGGGAGGGTGGCTCGAGCTTCCGATCCTCCCTTGCTGCTGTGCTGATGTCGCCTCCGATCCTGCGCGGCAGCGCCGGTGGCAGTGCCTTCCCAACCTCCAGCTCAGCCTCGGAAGCGTCGCCCCGGCACCCGCACAAGGGCGGGAAAGTCCTCCCGAACCTGCTCCGGCTGAACCTGAAAAAGGACAAGGGAGAGGGGCGGGATAGCCAACCGGGCACCCCACCCTCCCCACTGCTAGAGCATGTTCTGAAAGGCTATCCGATGAGTAACTTTGATGGAATCCCACGGGGTTTGTCGGAGGATTCATCTGTTCAAAGGTATGTGAGGGGCGGGGAGGGGAGTGAAGGCAGCAGCAGCGGGCGGATGAGTGGGGAGGATACGAGAGAGTGGGAGGAGGGCAGGAGGGGATTCGATGCGAGGGGGAGTAACAGGGAAAGGGTAGAATTTTCAGGGGAGGCTATTCGCAAAACGGGCTCGTATGAGAGGGGGGGGGCAAGGAGTGAGGAATCAGGGGTGGGTGCCAGGGGTGGGATTCGATCTCCGATCCTCAAGCCAGCTTCGACTGAAGAAGAGGCGTTTTTTGAGCGGGCAAGGCAGGAGGAGGAGCGACTAGCACGAGAGAGGGGGGGCAGTGGTGGTGGTAGTGGAGGGGGAGGGGGGGAAGCAGGGGGGGTGAATGATTCTTGGTCAAGGGACGAAGACACAACAGCACCGGCTTTAAGCCCTCTGAAATATGCTCCAAGTGCCTTCAGTAGGAGGATCAGAGGGAGGGGGAGGGGAGGGATTGGGGGGAGAGGGGCGCCTCCTCTCTCTCCTGTTGGTTCTGCTGCTGCTGGTGCTGGGGCTGGTGCTGGGGCTGGTTTAGCATCCACCATCAGCAGTGCCAGCAGTAGCAGCACCGGCACCAGCAGCAGTGGCACAGACACCAGCGGAAGCAGCAGCAGCAGCAGCAGTATTGGCTTAGGCAGCAGCAGTGTTAGCGCCGCTGGGGGAGAGATGGCTGGGGGGTACGGGGATGGGAATGTGGGAGGGATAGGAGGAGTGGGGGCGGGTGGTGGGGTGGGGAGAGGAGGGTTCGGCGGAGGGCGTGGGAGGATGAACAGCAGGAGGCGTAGCATTGTGAATGCGAGGCTTCATGCCCAGAGGGAGGGGGGCGGGGCGGGAGGGAATGGGGAGGGAGGGGAGGGGGAAGGTGAGAAGCCTGAATTTGAGTTTCAGGGTATGGGGGGGAGAAGAGCAGTGAGGAAAGCTCCTCCGATTGCAGAGGGGGGGGAAGGGGGGAGGAAGGGAGAGGAGAGTGAGGAGGAAGAGGACGAGGAGGGCGTGTGGCAGAGAAACGATCCAATTCAAGCGTTTTGAGACAGAATGGTGCAGTCCAGTGTAGACGTTGTGAGGTAATGAATTACACATCTGAAGTTATTTATATCAAGTAGCAAAAGAAGTGTGGTTTGTGGAGATGGAGTGATTCGCAGCGGCGGAGTAACCTTAGGCTCGTGCTTCGGAATAATATTGCAGCAGCAAGAGTTCTTCGGTCCTGAACGAGGCTGAAACGCATGTTGGCCTGGATGAACGTTTGTTGTAGATTTGTGTGGGAAGCAGGGATTGCTGGTGGTGGTTTCTTAGCAAGGGCAACTGAGTTGGGAGTTGGAGGTTCCCTGGCAGCTCAGTCATAGAATCTCTGCCAGGGAGCATTTGTAAAGCTGGTTCCTCTATTGAGATCCCCTTTTGTCATGTAACCTGGTTTTAGCCTTCAAAGATGCAAAGATAGTACACGCATGTCAAGTTTTTCATTGGCTCGCATGCAACTCTAAGTTCACCCAATTCCCAAGGTGCCCTACCATAGGAGTCAAACCATTTCCAAGGGCGACAGCCATATCCTATTCAGTTCAGGGATTAACAATTTTAATTTGTATCGAGTATAACGCTGGAGAACAAATTATCAGTAGCACCACCCTCGGGCTTCTCATTTTCAAGTTAGCCATTCCGCGGCAATCCCAGGTTTGCTGATTACACATCAGCTGAGTGTCGGCATTTCCAAGGCCGAGCTGCGATTGCGATTCGCAGGCACGGGTCGCTGCTTGCCACGTGGGAAGTCGAAGGGGTTCCCGTTGAAATAGTTAACTTCTTTATCCGGCGGCCCAAGCTACCCTTTTTGCTGCTGCCACGTCAGCGCTGAAAAATGGCTACGATGACGTCAGCCCACAGAGGCCTTACTGCGCTTCCTACCGCGCAACCCGGTGAAGCCTCTCGTTGTCCACGTGTCGTTTCAGCCGCATTTTGCGGTGCGAAGAAGATTAAGTCCGCTTCGTCGAGTCTGGTAGGGCAGCCGCTTTCAGTGGCTGTTTCCCGCACTCGCAGCGGCCACAGACGAGGCGGTGCGTTGGCGACAACGTGCTCGTCGCAGAGCGTTTCGGAGAAGTTCGCAGAGCTTCGCGCGAAGAATGAAGTGAGTAGACAGTTTCGCATTGTGACGAGGGTTTCGGGTATAATCACCTCGCATTACCAGAACAATCAGCTTGACCGCCTCAATCGCAATTGGCCGTTTCGATAATAACGCCGTATGAATTGTTTCGAACTTCTAGGTTGGATTTAATCGTTTTTGGCCATCACACGAGGTGCCATCCGGCGATATGTTGGAGTCAGCGCGCATTGAGCCTTTAACTCCAAACCTATTCTTTCTCCAACTCCTTCCTGTCCACCTCTCTGTCCCCCATTCCATCGTTCCTCCATTCCCCTGCTTCCCCCCTCCCCTGCATTTCACCCCCCCTTGATTGCAATGCGAGAGCCCACTCTCCTACCTCCTTCCTCCCCTTCGCACCAATCCCCTTACCCCACGCGTCCCCGTGCCAATCGCCGGCCGCAGGTGGCGCTTATCTCCTTCATAGTCGCGGGGGACCCCGCTGTAAGCACCACGGAGCGCATTGGTCGTACCAGCCCCTCAGCCCGCACTTTCTGTTCACCCGCTTCCCCGCAGGTGGCGCTTATCCCCTTTATAGTCGCGGGGGACCCCGATCTGGGCACCACGGAGCGTGCGTTGAAGCTGCTGTGCGAAACGGGCGCTGACGTCATCGAGCTGGGCGTGCCCTACTCGGACCCGCTTGCTGACGGACCCGTTATCCAGGTACACTCCATCCCCGTTAATGGCAGCTTGCCTGGTAACTGTAACGCGGCATAAGTGTATCGGTATAGATTTCTAGCTGGCTCATGCTCATCGAAGAAGGGAATTTCAACAAAACCGTATTTTTATTGTGTGCGGTGGTAGTTTTAAAACGAAATGACGACCAACCGAGTGTGATTATATGTGTGTGTGTGTTTGTTTAATCGTTTGTGCTTGTATGGCAGGCATCTGCCACCCGAGCCCTGGCAAGCCACACGGATCTGCAGTCAGTGATCGACCTTCTCAAACGGGTACGCTGCTGCTTCTCCCTGACCCCCATCTCTCCCGTTATTACGCTGTAAGGCGCCTCCAAAGGCGAACAGCACGGATCCGCAGTCACTCATCGACCTTCTCAAACGGGTACGCCGCTGCTCCTCCCTCTCAACGTCAACCCTTTCTTCTTTTGGAGTTCTGAGGCGCCTCAAAACGCGAGCTACACGGATCTGCAGTCACTCATCGCCCTTCTCAAACAGGTATGCTGCCCTTCCCTCTCAACCTACCTCCCACCCCCCACTTCCCCCCCTTAACACCCTCCCCGTTTCCTTCCTTGTCCGACTCAGCCATTCCCCCCTCCATCTCACTCACCCATTCCCCCCTCCATCTCACTCAGCCATTCCCCCCTCCATCTCACTCAGCCATTCCCCCCTCCATCTCACTCAGCCATTCCCCCCTCCATCTCACTCAGCCATTCCCCCCTCCATCTCACTCAGCCATTCCCCCCTCCATCTCACTCAGCCATTCCCCCCTCCATCTCACTCAGCCATTCCCCCCTCCATCTCACTCCGGCCATCTTCACATTCCCTTCTCCTCCTATATGACTCTCGTCTATATAATCTGCCTGCCCTATTCTCTTCTCACCAGGCCACTTCTCATCTGCTGCACCTACCTCAAGGTGACTTTTGAGTCGACTCAAAAGTCGCCTCCTCCTATTTGACTCTCGTCTATATGATCTGTCTGCTCCATGCTCAACGGGCCACTTCTCATCTGCTGCACCTACCTCAAGGTGACTTTTGAGTCGACTCAAAAGTCGCCTCCTCCTATTTGACTCTCGTCTATATGATCTGTCTGCTCCATGCTCAACGGGCCACTTCTCATCTGCTGCACCTACCTCAAGCCATCATGAAACGTCCCGCCAACAAGCAGCTCCTTTTCCCGCTGCCCCCCGATTGCACTTCCCCTCCCCGCCCCCAGCCCCAGGTCACCCCGTCCCTGAGCGCGCCCATAGTCCTATTCGCCTAACACAACCCCATCATGAAGCACACAGTTAACAACTCTATGGGGGAAATTAAGGGCGTGGATATCCCGCCCCTCAACCCCCTAACCCCCATCCTCTCTCCAGGTCACCCCGTCCCTGTGCGCGCCCGTAGTCCTCTTCACCTACTACAACCCCATCATGAAGCGCGGTGCAGACACGTGCATGGGGAGATCAAGGGCAGAGCAGTCAATCCCCCTCTTCACTCCACTACTACCCCTCTCTCTCTCCGCATCGCCCCTTCCCTGAGCGCGCCCGTAGTCCTCTTCACCTACCACAACCCCATCATGAAACGCAGCGCTGAGGAGCTAACGGGGAACTTGAACCCGCCCCACACCCACCTTCTCTCCCCCCACCATCCTCCTCCCCCCCCGGCCCACTTACAGGTCACCCCCTCCCTGAGCGCGCCGATAGTCCTCTTCACGTACTACAACCCCATCATGAAGCGCGGAGTCGACAAGTTCATGGGGGAGATTAAAGCCGCCGGTGCGGCCGGCATAGTGGTGCCGGACGTGCCTCTGGAGGAGACCAAGGTGCTGCGGGAGGTTGCCACTGCAAACGGGCTCGAACTGGTGAGCAACTGGTGGTTGGTGATGGCATGTACGAGTGTTGAGGCGTCTGGGAGCTCGAGTATGGTACTGGTATAGCAGCTGTCATGACACATTGTGGTGCCGGACGTGCCTCTGGAGGAGACCAAGGTGCTGCGCGAGGTTGTGACGGCTAACGGGCTCGAACTGGTGAGCGTGGGGGATTATGTCTACGATGGATGAGAAGGAGTGGCAGGCAGGCACAGTGGTGCCAGGCGTGCATAGTGGTGCCAGGCGTGCATAGTGGTGCCAGGCGTGCATAGTGGTGCCAGGCGTGCATAGTGGAGCCAGGCGTGCATAGTGGTGCCAGGCGTGCATAGTGGTGCCAGGCGTGTCTCTCGAGGAGACCAAGGTGCTGCGGGAGGTTGCGACGGCTAACGGGCTCGAACTGGTGAGGAGACGTTTCCTTGTGACCAAGCTTTGAGAGATTTGGAATGCTTGCTGCTGGTCTAGCAGCAGGCAGGCATAGTGGTGCCGGACGTGCCTCTGGAGGAGACGGAGACCAAGGTGCTGCGAGAGGTTGCTACTGCAAACGGGCTTGAACTGGTGAGCACCTTCCATCCCTGATTGCTGCTGATGGAGCGTGTAGGCTCTCCATGCCTGCAGTGCGTGTTGATGGACTACCGGCACCGCGGCGGCCATACGAGTTGACTTTTGAGTCGACTCAAAAGTCAACTCATGCCTGCAGTGCTTGTTGATGGACTAGCGACTTTTGAGTCGACTCAAAAGTCACCTTGTCCACTTCCGCTGTCCACTTCCGATGGACTACCGGCACCGCGGCCGGCATCGTGGTGCCGGACATGCCTCTGGAGGAGACAAAGGTGCTGCGGGAGGTTGCTACTGCCAATGGGCTCGAACTGGTGAGCACGCGTCTCAGAGGGAACAACGAGGTGGAGAGATGAACTAGTAGCAGCACGCATAGTGGTGCCAGACGTGCATTTGGTCTTACTTTTGAGAATTCTCAAAAGTAAGACCAATATTGCCGGACGTGCATTTGGTTTACTTTTGAGAATTCTCAAAAGTAAGACCAGTATTGCCGGACGTGCATGTGGAGGAAAGGTTGCTGCGTGAGGTGAGCTGGTCATTGCTAACTGCCTCGCTCCTCTGCCCCCCTCTTTCCCCGCCTTCCCCTCTCTCCTCTCTCCCCACAGGTGCTGCTAACGACGCCCACCACCCCCACCGAGAGAATGGGAGCCATTGCTGACGTCACCCAGGGCTTCCTTTACCTTGTAAGCTTTACCAGAGGGAACAACGAGGTGGAGAGATGAACTAGTAGCAGCAGCCTTGCTGCTGTGCCTTCTCCCTTTGTCTCGAACCTTCTCCCTCCTCCTCTGCCTCTTCTCTCTTCTCCTCGCCTCTCTCCTCTCTTCCACCTATTGCCCTCCTGCATACCTTGTGATTTACTGCATTCAAGACACCAATCATATGCGCATGTGCACTTGTGTTTGTGCATGCATGCATGTGTGATTCGTGACTGTATCGCAGGTGAGTCTAACGGGAGTGACAGGCGAGCGGGCGGCAGTGCAGGGGCGGGTGGAGCAGCTACTAAAAGACATCAAGGCCACCACAGACAAGCCTGTCGCCGTTGGATTCGGCATCTCTGCGCCTGAGCACGCTGAGCAGGTGCGTGTGATAAGCAAATGAAGGAATGGAGTGGGTTGACTCAGCAGGCAGTGCAGGGGCGAGTGGAGCAGCTACTAAAGGACATCAAGGTCACCTGCCTCACAGACAAGCCAGTCACTGTGGGCTTTGGCATCTCTGCCCCTGAGCATGCTGAGCAGGTGTGTTTGACACATGGATAAGTTATTGGATTTGACTCAGCGGGCAGTGCAGCAGGGGCAGGTGAAGCAGCTACTAAAGGACATCAAGGCTGCCACAGACAAGCCCGTCGCTGTCGGCTTTGGCATCTCTGCCCCTGAGCATGGTGGGCAGGTGCGGCTATGTGATGAATGAGTGAATGAATGAGTGGCTACAGTGGATGCATATGTTCTTGTCTTCGTCTCCCCTTACCCTTCTTCCCATATGCCTCATCCCATCTCCCGCTCCCCCCTGCCAGGTGGTGTCATGCCGAGCAGACGGAGTAATTGTGGGGTCAGCGCTGGTGAAGCTGTTTAGGGGCAGAGGGACGGCAGAGGAGGGAAGAGAAAACACACTTGTTCCTCTTTCTGTGCTTCACAACTCCCCCCCGCCAGGTGGTGTCATGGGGAGCAGATGGAGTAATCGTGGGGTCAGCGCTGGTGAAGCTGCTGGGGGGAAGCGAGACAGCAGAGGAGGGGCTGGCAAAGGTGGGCACTCTTATGCGGTCGCTCAAAGCAGCAACGGCTCGCAACCTGCAGACAGCTTAAACGCTCTCCTCCAAGCTCCTGGGGGACAGTGACAGACACGGCTAAGGTGGTGACAGCATACCGTAAATGTTGCACCGGAACTGTTTTTAGTTTAGGGATGTTTTCATCGCCTGGACAACTCAATGCAGTGTACGGTAAACATTTGAAAATAAAACATCACAAAGAGTTTACCGGTTCAACCGCTCACTACCACTGGTTGTTGCGGATGGGCCAAGCGGAGCTTTGGTAATTTACTGGTCCTTGGCACCTCCATTGGCATGTCCCTTTATAAGCATCACTCTATGCAGGCAGAGAGATTAAGCCAGCCTGTCTTCTCTGTCGGATGAGCCTGGCTATGTGTGTCTTCCTCTTGTAGCTGCGTGGCTCTGATCCCTTCGTTATGTGATACCCGCATATCAGCAAGCACAGTGAATAAAGCAATGTTCTCTTTATGTGTCCTACCGTATTCTCCCGGACATAACACCCTAGGGTATAGCTAAAAATATTATAATTTTTAAACACACATTGTGTTTTTTAAAATTGTGTATTGTGAAAGCGAAGCTGCTTGTACTGCACAATTGGCATCGTCGAAGCGCGCTAAACGCCCTTCTCCAACTACAAAAACCGTGGGTTGGAGTTCATTTCCCTCCACCCACGTTTCTCGATTTTCAAACGGCTCACTCAACACTTCTGCTCACGTAGTTTATCCCTCCGTCCAAGCTGGCTAGAACAAAATCGCTTCCTAGAGGCGAGTCACCTTCGACCTTACTCAACGATATTTTTAACTTCAATCGCTCAACGATGACACCGACGCCGACACTTAACAACGGGAACTCGTCCAACCCCGCCTCCGACAACGACCGTAACACCCGCGATTTGGCGGGCGAACGCCGTAACAAGCGACGGGCAGAAGATGGACCGCCCGCCCCGACTGCAGTGGACGTGCTGCTGGGCGGGCTCGAGGTCAACAACTCGGCCAACGCCCAGCAGCACCCTTCGGCGCCAGTGGCGCCAGTGGCGCCTGAGGTGCCTGTGGCGCCAGTGGCACCTGCGGCGCAAGTGGCGACGGCCGCGGGCGTGGCACACGCCACTGACGCCGAGCACACGCCAGCACCCGCGGCTGGACCGTCGCGTCAGCGCCAGAGGAGGCGGACGGCGGCCTCCTCGTCTGACGCGACGACCGCCCCTACG